ATACCAAAACACAGATTTGAAAAAAGGCAGAAGTGAAAAAGATAAATTATAAAATGATTCAAAATCTTCTTACAAAATACAATTTTGAAAAATAAAGAAAGCGACATATTGGGAAGAGAGGGAAGGGAAAGAAAAGAGCCATATTTTTTGTTTAAACAGTCACAGGTTTTGATAATTCATTCTTAGCCACCTCTCAGATTTTTCTTAACTTTTAACTTTAGCTGCACCATGTTTGGAAAATCTTTTCTGAGATTTTTCAAAAGAATTCAATACTTCAGAAGTTTTCCTGACAAGCCAAGGCCTTTTAAATCATTTAAATCCAGAAGAGTTAACTCCAAGAGACATCAGAAAATTTTAAGCACATTTTAAAATTTTAAGACATTTTTATACCTGAACTAGTATCCTGAGCTGCCTTTGAAACAGAGATCTCACCCTGTAGACCCAGGGCTTGGCTGAGCTACGTCATGACTGTCTGCATCTACTCCTGTAGACGCATCCAAGTGTTTGATCCACCAAAACTCTTACTTGCATGCAAGTTTTTCTGCAACTGTGAAAGAAGTGTTAGTCAGAAAGAGAGGGCGAGTTCCAAGACGCTCTTGCTCACCAGTTCGTTAAAATACTTACAGAAGAGTCAAAGGCTCAACACCCTTCTGGGTAGTTAAAACCCAGGGAATGTTTTGGACAGAAGGCAGAGCTTGAGTAGCCAGAAGCAAACAATATATTAGGATTTCAAGAACAAAAAAAAAGTGAACATTGCTACAGCATTGTTATGAAAATTAAACATCAACTTTGAAATCTTTTTTTTTTTGGTCATTTTGATCCTCAAGTGGAACAACAATAAGAGGTTCAGAATTCTACTTGTAAATGAGAAAGATGCTTTTGAGCTATAGAACTTCTTACATTTTTTTGTAATAGCCAGAACTTGCACTGAGCTTCCCATCCACAGAAGAATTGGTTCAGCTTCCCCGTGCATCCCTCATTAAATCCACAAATGATACCCGTGATTTAGCTCTTGACACCTAACCAATGTTTTATGAAGGAACTGAGAAAGTCCCCGAATATTCCACGTGGAAACTCGGGAGTTAGCGCAGCCTTGGCAGAGTTGGATCCGATCCTTTCCTGCCATCTAGAGGACATGCAGTGACAAGCAAAGGTCTTTGAACGTCCTGAATCCCTCTCAGTTACATACATCAAGTTTCTGTACGAAATGCTTAATCCTACGCACCTAAAAATCTAATTGAGGAACAGCACAACTATTTTATTAGAGACTGCAGTTAGAGAGCAGTTTCATTCTGGCATAATCCTAAAAATGTTTTTCTATAGTGAAGTTTAAAGCACAGAAAAAACACTGGAGTAAAGCAATGCTTTTACCACATGCAGTCATGTCTTCTGACTTAGCTAAAGGAAAAGCCCTTTGATTATTTTTCTGCATACCTCAACAGAACAAGATCTATGCTTCTGCAAACAACAGTTTAACCGTCAACAACCGAGTGTGAATGAGAAGTGATGCCTTTGGTGCCAGAAACCAGGGAAAAGGTTGGGAAAAGCACTTGTATCTTACCTGATATTGAAACCTGCCTCAGTCTCAAACTTGCTTTCCAATATTTTATTGTAAGACATTAAACTAAGAAACACAGGCTGCTTGCGGAGACACAGGCAAACTCACCTCAGGGGCTAACGCCACGTAAAACAGAAACAAGAGAGACCAGCRAAGCGAGACCGGATTCGGTGGAACAGCGGAGTAAGGAAAATGCAGCTTACCCAGCAAAACCTACATTAGAATGACCACCTTTTTCTTTCTGTATCCTAATATACACCTTTGTCATTATCTTCAGACGAGATACACGACTGTTAACACTTCATTTAAAAAAAAAAGGGGGGGGGGAAAGGTTTTTGGGGGGGGAGGAGGCCGCGAGGAGGAGGAAGAGGCTCCAAACAGGGGCAGGACAGAGAGGCAGCGAGAAGCTGCCCACACACTGAGATATTTTATTTCCCAAGCCTGACCTCCAGTGGTGAGTTCAGGAAACTCAATGAGCTACACACTTCACACGAATTACCAGAAACACCAAAAAACCTAACATATATGCAGGAACGTCTCAGACTGAGCATTATGGACCTATGAAGCAAAGTATAAAGAAGTCACATTCTGCCAAAATTTCTGTCAAAAAGGACAGAAAAAAGCTTTTGCTTATGAAATTTGAGAAATTCTCTAACTATAGTACACTTAACATCTTTAGGCAGCCCAAATCTGAAATAAATTGAAGATAAACAACATTCATGTAATTCTACAAAAACTCTGGGCTACTAAAACTCCAGTATTCACTAGTCTGTATTTACAAAGTTTTTTATTCATCTGGCAAATGCTTTAAGAAACTAATGACTTTTTTTTAACTTTTTTTTTTTCCTTTGGAATATGAAAAGGCTTTAGAATCTCATAGGAAAATAGGMAACTCGTAGAATATTCTATTAGGAAGCTAAAAAGTAAGATTTCTGCTGCAGATCTCTGAAAATCTATCCTTATGAAATAGTGCTAGGATTGAACAGGAAAATGGGAATTTAGCTTTTCACCTTGGTTTTCACATTCTACAGAAATGACTCATCTGCTTCTAAATATTATATATTATACAAGTCATAAAGCTTAATGCTTTAGTTTTTCATCAGAAAGTATTTTTCCACTCAAAAAATGCCTCTAGGTGTCTGTTACAAAATTTACAGAAAAAGAACACAAGTTGGGATTTTGAATTTTGTTCTGAAAAACTAGAAAGAGTCTATCGTAATCACATTTTTTTCACAGCTGGCCTTCACACGCTGTTTTACAAAAAACAGATTAACTGCTCAAAAATACAATGAAATATAATAAAGTCTGCATATTTTCAAGCTACACTGTATGTAAACTGTAGGGTACGGAAGTGAAACAAAGCTTTCATTCTCTCAACAGGGAATGACCCACTTTAACTTGCTAAGTAGTGCAAAAGAAAGATCAACTTTTTCTCATAATGAGAAAGGGATACCTTGATAAATGGTGCTGACTATCATTGAAGCAGTTAAGTTAGCTGGAAGGAAAAAAAAAAATCCAAGGAATGGCTGGTGTACTCCCTGCACAATTAACCAGTTTGCTTTTTCTAATAGTTATTTATGTAGCAAGGCTTTTCTTCAAACTAAAAATAACTAACATAAATGACATAGGGCAAGAGAAGAACATCAAAATAATCAGTGTATATAGTTAACAAGAAGAGCTGCCTTACAGATGAAAACATCAGAAGTAGGGGAGGGAAAGTCTTATGCTAAAACTTTAATTAATTTCAAATAAACAAAGCAAATTCAATAAGCAAAAGAGTTTAAAAGTCTGTAAGGACTGTTTTCAAAAGGCTGATCCTTTTAACATCATTAAAGTACAAACAAAAACGCTCCAAGGAACATGCTCATAGAAGCTGCTAAGCAAAGCAAAACTGCYCATATAGCAGGTTGTAATCTTTCAACAAAGGGGACCAATTCTACAAGATATGCTATAATATGTGCACCTTAGTGTGCTACACACTATACAGTATACTGCATTTTAAGTAAAATGTAATACCTAGGAGAAAAATGGACATTTTTGTCTAGAATCCTTTTAAAGTTTCCTTGTATTAGTATTTTCCACCAAAAAGCTGATTAAAAATGGTGTATTAAATGCAAAATATTTCCAACTCTCTGTAATATATTAACTACCTACATATTAACACACACACATACAAAAAAAAAGTTGGATGCAGTGCCATGACAGATGTTTTCTAAAGGATCCTTTCAAAAACTATTTAATTTTCTAGTTTACTAAGTTCTGAAAGTCATCAAAAAGAATCCCCCCCCCCCAAAAAAAGCACAAAGCAAAAACCCACACCAAGCCTTTCTTTGAAAACAAACAAGAAACACTAACAACAAAGCTAGTGCAGTGCTCTGAATAAACAGGTATCACAAATGAAAAACTGTTGCAGAAAATGAAGTAGCAAGCTGACCAAAATCGTAGCTATTCTCAAGATTGCTCATTTCTGAAAGGTACTTAAAGGTCCTGCAGTAAATGTTAAAGACAGGTTTTTTTTTTTTTTTCTTCTGATATTTTAAGTTCTACAACATGACCATTTCCTTCTAATTTATATGAAGTATCAGAGGGCACTGGGTTTAGTCAAACTATTGGTTTAAAAAGAGTTCTTCTCAAAAAGCATTACACAGAAAGCCAAACATTCTTACATTGTCCTTGCACTGCAAAAACATATATCCAAATAGTACTTTGAATATATATATACACACACACGCACATACATATGAATGTTCAACATCACATATTGAATTGTGTAAAATTCAAGCTGAAACTAAATTTACATTACAAACCCAAATTATCACCAGAAGTCTTAGGACCAGAAGTCTTAATTCAAGGTATCTTTTATTTTTTTTCATTTTTAATTTACTTCCTAAAAACATAACAAATCTTATTTTCACACATTAGTACAACCGTTGAATAGAGCAAGCAAAAAGCTTTAATATCAAATTTTAAATCTGCATTCCTTTTTGAAGTGCTGGTTTCAATTGGTTTAACACTTTGATACATTGACTTGACACCCAAAAATTCTCCCTCAATGTGAACTTTTCTAACCAGCATTTATAATACAAATTTCTTCAACCAGGTTTAAAATGTATTCAAAGTCTTTTTCTAAAAAAAAAAATTATGACAACACATGTACTGATTCTTAAATTTGAGTAAAAAATGGAATTCAAATGAAAATATGCAAAACTTTAATAAATAAAACTCAAATGTGCCCGGTTTATCAAAATAAGACCTATCAAAAATATTTTGTCATTTAAGAGGACTTGGATAATGAAGAATTGTTTCTGGATGATGAATTAGCAACATATTTCTACAACCAGATTCTGTGTGCAGTTTAGACACACTGAAGTACAGACTGGTGTGTTTGGAAAGCCTGCAAACCAGTTATATAGGTTAGACATACGATTGCTAGCAGGATATCACTAAAAATTGGGCGCTCAGTATTGCTTATTTTATTTTTCTGACTTTCTTTGGTTTTAGTTTTTAGTGCCTAACCCTTTCAGTAACTTCATCTCTATTTTCAGAGGCCTAATTGTCTTTACAGATCTAACTGCATCCCCTTCAAACTGAATAAAGAGTGAAGTACAGTCTTCCCAACCTCTTTTTTTAATTGGAAGCTCTCTACTTTTTAGTCTCCCAGTTAATGAATTTCAGATGGGCAAATCTAAACAGAACATCAGCAAATTCCTCTGCCTTGCAAATAAGATTAAAAGCAAAATTCAGGCAAAATATTTGCTGTGCTACAGAATCTGGTAATACTTACATAGGAAAAGATGTAAAGAAGTATCAAGAATTTCAGTCTAAACTACAGACACATACAGTACCATGATATGGTTCTATTTATAATTCTGGCTCCCCTTTTGATTTTGCACTTGTTTAAAAAATAACACTCTTGCTCAAATCTGATGAAGGCTTGTGTATGTACAGTATTAAAAATATTACAATTACAGCACAACTACACATAACACTGGCTGCCATGATTCCAAGTTTTGTTATCAAGAGATTTATTTTAAGTTATTAAAGGTCTAAATGTTTAACAGTATCTAATAAGATTTTTATCCACTGTACAAAGATGTTATTTCAGATAAAAGAAGGAATTAGAACCCAGAACTATGTACAAGGCAAAATGGGAATAAAACGAATTTCTTTTAAGGCAGAAATTCAGTTTTATATCACTTTAAAAGGCCCCTCAATACTAATTATAAGTAGCTAACTCATTCAGGATCTAAAAAGTTACACTTATAGCTTAATTGATGCAATGCCTAGAAGTCTATCGACTTTCCAGGTATCCCAACTGCAGATATGGTCATCTTTAGAGATCAAAGCTGTGCTAAAGTTCAATCTAGTCACTACTTTATTAGACAATCTGCCCTCATTTTTGTTAGTAAGTTATATAAATTTAGGAACAAGAAGGTATGAAACACAGAAAATGGCAAAAGATATCTTAAAAAATTATCACCGAAAAAGCCAGACTACATAATCAGAAGAATTTCAATGCTTAAAAACAGATTCACAGATGTTCATCCAGTTGAAGATTAGTGTATTAAAAAAAGCTAAGAAAATATTTTGTTTCAGTTCAGCTGCACTTGATTCAAGCACAGCTTGGAGGTTGGTTGGTATAAATTAAACATGGTCACTGCCTCAGCAGCCAGAAGTACAGGAAAATGTACATGTTCACAGGATAAATAGAAGTCTCTCCTTTCTGAAAAAAGCTATCTCACTCCAATTCGGGAGGTCATCCACTCCAAGCCTTGGCATAATCTGAAAGAGAAGAAATGGGCTGTTGATACTAGTTCCGTTCCAGTATCTTAAGTGTTTGTTACTTCTATTTAAAGCAATCTACTAAAACCAGAACCAGCTGGAATTCAGAGTGAATAAACATGAGTTTTAGAGTTTTAAACTAAATCTACTTGGGCTTTAACCACAGTAAATTGGTCAAGAATGCTATTATGCTATGTTACTGAAGCTTAGCATTCTTTCATTTTTTTTCTTCTAAAGTTAAAAGCATGCAGCTCCACTCACTCAGAAATACATGAAATTAATTTAATTTTGCCTTTAATACAGGTTTCCCATTAGAGGCTGCTTACTTAAAAACTAGACATTTTCACAAAAAAAGAGCAATTTACACAGACTGAATTGGTCAAAAGCATCAAACATTCTATAATCTCATTACAAAACTAAAAAGGATGCTATATTAAACACCAAGATTGCATGGGCTCTGATCTACTTACTCTCCACTCAATTTACATCTATTTTTAAAATTTGTATGTGTGAGAAGACGCTTTCCTTCTGTTTTCTAGGTATACAGTTTCCTAGTTCATGCCTTTCTCAAGTCTTAGATTTGTAAAATAAATCATGGGCATTAATAAACAAGGCTAACGCTGACTCTCCAAATCCAATTTCCCCAGACTCTTCCCAGAATTAGATCCCTGACCTGATTCATCCTGTATTTTTTTTAATGAACTTGTCTCACCAGTGTCACAGTTTTAAGTTCTCTAATTTTTCACCTTGTTTTTTCTTTAAAAAAAAAAAAAAAAAAAAAAAAAAAAAAAGCTTTGAAAGAGCAGCAAAAAGCAAAGAGTTTAGAGTCCCTGTTTCCTTTTTAGGACAGTTAAACCAGCATTTTAATGAACTTGTCTCACCAGTGTCACAGTTTTAAGTTCTCTAATTTTTCACCTTGTTTTTTTAAAAAAAAAAAAAAAAAAAAAAGCCTAGAATGATCCAAGTCAAACTTCACAAATCTCTCCCCCCCTCCAAATGCCAATTGAAGATTTAAAATGTACATAAATTAAATATTCAAAGAATCTTTAGTGAAAGTAGTATAGGAGGAAAGTAGAGTCAATTGTCAAGAAGTCCAAGACATCCAATCTAAAACCCAAGTCATTCTTTCTAACACAGCCCACCTTAAGGAAATGTCTGCTGCCAACCATTCTACAAGATGCACTTGCACTAAAAAAATACTTCATTCTACATTCACCATGTCTGATGACAGGAAACAATACTATGGCAAAGATTTTTCTATGAGACTAAGGAGAAAAACTCTTTAAGTATTAAACATTAGAAGTTTTTTTTTATATATAAACTGAAAGGAAAAATAAATATGAAGAATAATACTTCATACAAATTCAGAATTTGACCTGTGAAAGTAATCCACAAATTTCAATAAAGAAAATGAAAAATTCAAAGTGTCCCTCTGACTCCCAAGATGCTTTTTAGCAAATCCAGACTGGTGTTAATAAGCTTCTATGGCAGTGTTCTCATTTGCCATGTATATTGCCCTTATACAGTAAACATTTACCCTTCTCCTGTCAAAGCGCAACAGGACTGAATGTGCCATGGATGATCCTTTATGGAGCTAAGGGTGAGGTATGTAGATATTTCAGCAGCTGTCATGCAACCTTTCATGTCCTGCTTGTTCGCAAAGATGAGAACTGCGGCTTTCCGTAAATCCTAGAAGTAATTTATAAGAGTTATTACAAAGCAGTAAAATGATATTGTTAACTGTGGTCCTCAAAAAAACAACAATCAATCCGTTCTACAACTACATGATAGCATGTAGTTCTGACAGACTTACTAGGTTAAAAAAATAAATACTCTTAGATTAAAAAGAGATTTATTTAGTCGTGTTCTGCACTGCAGAGAATCAAAATATAGTATTCCGCACAAAAGTCCTCTTGGCGTATATATATGCTGTATATATGAAAGTCTTGTTAAAATACATTTTACAGAACTCCACATCACGCAGACATAGGAATTACTATAAGATAAACATTCCAAAACCTAACTGGATGCTATCTAAACTCAAAAGTTTGCTAGATATTATTCCCTTGAAAGCACTTCAACCTCAGTAAGCAAGTTCTGTAGTGATTMAAACAGTAACTGTTTAAAAAAAAAAATTAGCTAAATACTTCTAAGTTTTATACTGCTAATATGTATTTCTGCTCCTCTATAGAAACTAGGATTCCAAAAAACAGCTATACAAAGACAGGGCTATATGGTTTTAGGAGTACAGAAGACAAATGCAAGAGTCAGGAAGCTGTCAGGTCTAATTAAGAGTGCTCAACAGAGATTAAAACCTGTATTTAATTTTGAGACAATTTGTTCATCGAGAGAACAAACCCTTACAGTCCAAAGTTAAAAATTCACTCTTGCAAGTAGTCCTTACTGCAGTCTAGTCTCATTTCAAGTTGCCCTACTGATTGTTTTCAGGACATGATTGATCACTTTGTAAGTGATTGTAACACTGAAAGCTTCCATAATTACTTTGGAAAAAATGCACCACGAAGTATGTTCTGCCTTTTTGATACAGTGTTTGTTCCTTACTATCAGCCCCAAATTAGGTTAGTATTGAGCTGTGAAGAAAAAATCGTTCATTTGAAACAGACTCACAGAAATGAACTTAGAATAATTTATACTGTACTAAACCCCTTTCCATTAAGAAAGGATAAAAGATGTTTAGGACAAAGCATAAAGATATAACACAAAACAAATTCATCTTGAAATTAACCAGATTTTAATGTATATTACTAACCCAATTTACATATTAGTTTAGAATGTCAGCAGGAGTTGACCCAATATAGAGCTATCATCTATACAAAACAAAATAATAAAAAAAGCCAGAAAGAAACTAAACTGAAACTAATTTAACTATATGAGTGTATGTGCTTCTTAAAATTAAGAAACACGATTAAAACAGTTTAAAAAATGAACTGCCTGCTTTTTAAAGATTTTGAAATTTCTTCCAATTTTAACCATTAAACTGAAGCCCAAGAGTGAAGAGCAACAAGGTCACATTAACCTGAAGTAATTTGAATTAAAATATTTTATAATTTCAGTACTTATAGTGATGTAATTACAATCCAGCAGGCCCTGTTAAAAGAATGAAAAAGGAATGTGTATTCTTTATTATAACTTGCCTGCTTATTTATAGTTTACACTAATGAGAGCCCAACATGCATGTATTTTCAGTGGTTTTTTTGTGTGTGATGGTAGAATTTTTGTTAACAGAGGAACCATATAGTCTTATTTAACTGTTGACAACAAAAGAAATTTGTTATCCCAGTTTTCTACTATACCTCATGAGCCAGCATTCTGTAAAGCTCTTCTTTTGTAATAGAAAGTCGCTCTCTGTCAATGCTGTCAACAACAAGAATGATGAACTAGGGGAAAAAAAAATGTAAATAATAATACCAAGTAAAAGACTACAGAAAGTATTTTCAAGAAACCACTACTGCAAGTCTTCCTGTATAAGGCAGGCATAGACATATTAGAAAACAGGACAACAGGTTTATTTTTACAGTCTCATTTTTAGACCACTGGAAATCATACACGAAGATTATAGGTAGAATAAAAAAAGTGACATATATAGACTTTAGAMCTGTAATTAAGATATACTACTTATGTGCTATGGTTAAATATACCAATCTGGCAATTGGATTTTCTATCCCTAATCATAAGCAAAATAGTCATGTAGGTACCAAAACACCTGCAGAGTGGATCACACTCAGAACGTGGATTAACAGAAAACTGCTATACTCAGTTATTAGTGAAAAAGATCATTATGATCAAACGATCATTTTGTCTCCTTCTACTTGTATACTCAAAAATACTAAACTGAAAATATGCACACACAAACCGCAACCGCCCACTGTGTTCAACACTGTCAGTGACCAAAGAGTGCTCCCACCAGCAGTAACAGCACCACAATGACGAAAACTAACACGGAAATCAAAAGGGTCCTGACAGCAATTATACAGCTGCTATGGAAAAGATGTTACATGCTGTGCAGGAGAGAACTCCCTGGAGATGACAATTACCCAAGAAACACTATTACTTCTCTGTCCAGCCAACCTTTTTCTTTTTTTTTTTTATCCTTTTTTTTTTTTTATCCTTTTTTTTTCCCCCCTGAGAATAACTATTAGAGACAAAGTACATGAGCAGATACAGCCCACTTCTCCTCCAAAGCAAATTTTGGCACCTAAGTCTGTCTCAACATCCTTTTGCTCTGACTTCTAAAGCAGAGCTGCAGAACTATTCACGTTAAACAAACTATTTAAGATAAGTAAGCCCTGAAAAGGTTATCTGCAGGATTTCAAATAAATTCAAAGATTTTCTTAGATTGCTTCCATTTTCAGGTAAGGAAACATGCAAGAGAGAAAAGCTGCATGCAATTACTAACAAAAAAGGAATAAAAGTCGCTGCTATTAATGCTCCAACATATGCTCAAAAGTGCTTCACCTCATAAAATTAAGGAGAAGGATAGTCCATTGAAAGAGAACAGAGAGTATCAAAAACTAAGTCAATTTAATGCCACTGTGACTGTGTCTGGCAGATGAGGAGGAACAGTAAAAGAATAATGAACAAGAGGGATTAGCATACCAAGCTAATCCTTTCTTCGTCAACTCTTTCAACAAAACTTCTAAGTAAAGTTCTTCCTTTCAACTGTCAGAGAACACTGGATTTCAAACACTTATTACTAGAACACTGTGATGAAAAACATTTCCAAACAGGATCAAAACAGAGCCAAGACATGTATCTCCAAATTCCAGAAGCCTGGAAGATTCCACATGCAACACATAAAAAGGTCAAGAAGTTACTGTACCAGGTATTGCTAACAGAAGCATCTTTACCTTCTCTCATTTGTCTTACAATTTTTGAGACAGAACGGAAAATAACAATTAAAAAAAAAAGCTAGAGGTGATGTTCATCACCAGGCTTTCAGTTAAAAAGTTTCTGACCACTTGAGGTAGATCACTCTCCTCTTCCAAAGGGTAACCTGATGCATAAAAATGCCATTGTACAGGAGGATGGAATACTTATATAAGAAATAACCTACAATTTAATTATTTACAATTAAAGCCATCTTTACTTTTAACAGGAATGATTTAAGAAAAAAAAAAAAAAAAAAAAAAAAGCTAAAATTCTGTATGTCAACATGCAAGCCTTAAGTAAGACTAAAGATTTTAAAGGAATTCTCAAGGACTTTTGGCATCAAAAAATACTAATTTAAGGCAGAGGGGAGCGTGAAGCAGGGGAATGGGTATGAGAAGAACTCAAAAAGGACAATAGCTGGCAAGTTCTAGTACAACTTTTCTATCAGTGGCAGCTCTACAAGTATGTCTCGACTACTACACAGCTAGCTGAACCATTATCCTCCAGCTAAAAGCCCCAAGCTGCTGAGCTTTTTGAAATAGCGCTGCCTGGAGAAAGTTTTGTTCTTCGTCCTTGATTATCACTGCCCTACATTTTTGATTAGACACAGATGCTGGTTTAACCATTGTAAATCCTCACTGAGTACACTGAAAAAAAATGGTTAACAACTTACTGAAGAAAAATATGCCAAAGATCAGTTTCATAAAAAAATATTTTATATCACTCAGTGGTCAAGAAATTACAAACTCAACTTTATATTTCATTCCACCGGTCAGACAACAACAGTAATTTGTAATAGTCATGAAAAATACTTTAAATATTACCACATAATTGGATGTATGCCAGAGATATCTGGTAATTTTTTAGCTTGCTGTCCTTCAAAAATATTTAAAAATGACAACCCTCCTAAAAGTCTACCAATATTTCCAATAAATACCTACAAATGAACTTACTGAACTGCAAATTGGAAATTTCACCTACCTCTGTGTTCGAATAATAGGTGTTCCATGAGGACCGTAATGACTCTTGTCCTCCAATATCCCACATGAGGAAATGAGTATTTTTCACTACTATTTCTTCTACATTGCTTCCTATGGTTGGAGAAGTATGGACCACTTCATTCATCAAGCTAAAGAAAACAGTATCACACCATAATGACCAAAGAACAAAATGCACAAGGCTTGTCACAAATCCATAACAATTATTAAAGGGAAAAAGTATGTATCTTATCTCTCTTAAAATGCTATCAAACTACCTATTTTTCAAAATGCTATGTGAACTTTTACAGAAATAAAACTAGTACATTAGAACAGTTCTAAAATGCAGTTGACAAAGTTTTCCTACAGTACATGCTTTTGAAGAAAAGAAAAACTTTACGTGTGCCTGAACATCTCAGAAATGAAAAACAAACACAGAAAACACGACAAAAGGATATGTATCTTTAACAAACTTCTCTTCTTGAAGGAAAGACTATYCTGAAAATGTGCTTGTTGCAAAGCAGAAAGTTGCATTGTAATTCAGATAAGAAGAACATCCAACTACGCAGAATCAAATTCTGAATCTAATTTATAAGCTCATTCAATTTATTAAAATCCAATTTGGTGCCATAAGAAATTCTCAAGGAATGGTTGACTACTAAATTACTTAGCTGAATATCTCAGTTCTACTTTTTATCTTTGACAAAGTGTTCAGAAGAAGAAAAAAAAGTTGTTTGGACAAATATCCTGGTCCTCCCTCATATCTAAATATATGCAGAGTCATTTAAATTTGCCTTCCTCTTTCTCCACAGTCACCAAGGTAGTTACATTTCTGACAATATATGCATTTATATAACGCAGGCAAGAGGTGGGGGTAGTTAAGTGTATTGTCAACAGTATCGGGAAACACTTGAAAACATTCACAGATTTTGTAGTTACTAAAATTCCAGCTATTTTAAATAACTCTTTCTTCCATATAGTTTTCAGTCACAGGATAATTTCTACATTTACCAATTAAGATGGGYATTAACACCAAAATAATTAGCAGTTCACTATGTGCTTGTACAATTACGTTATTCACTCTATTTACAACTCSGTTTTAAAACACTGCAGGTCTTTTATTCATCATTCAAATATTAAATTGAATGATGTTTAGAATGACTAATACCACCCATGCACATACTGTGCATTAGGGCACCCTCAGAGTTTCTGTCATGTTTCATAAGAGTGACTAAACAGGAACAAACACTAAAGTGTAATATGAAAAACAAAATAGTTTGTATACTTACAACTGATAAAGAATGGTGGTCTTTCCAGCATTATCAAGTCCCACTATGATTACTTTGTGCTCTGCATACACATACACACACAATAATAATAATAATAATAAATAAGTTAGTGGAAACAGCAATAATGACAATTCTTGTTCATCAGCATAGGAGAAAGCAACAACTASATTATCTTAGTTCAAAAGCTGAGATAGAATGCTGATGAGTTTTTTGGGGAAAAAAATCACAAAACCTCACCTGCTGATATTGCTAAAATTTTAGTTTTAGGAACAAAGCACAAGGAAGAAATAAGATGATGCTCAGCTATCAATTATAAGTACATGACCACACATCCAGAATATTAATACTTATATCAGTTAATTTATATCATAATATTAAGTATTTATAACAACAGTTAATCACTACAAGTTATTTAGAAATTTGAAAGAACTAGCTTTCTAAAGAACAGATGAGTCTGTAGATTTCCAGAGTCAGACAAAATAAATCCCATGTCTGCAGAAAGTATTAGTCTAACACGCAAAGCTCAGTAACACAGGCATCATTTAATGGACTATCATGATTTGTACAGCAAAAAGAAGAAATTTTATTTAGAATGGATCACAAATTCCAGCACTACAATTTCTGAGCTGAAAACTGCTGCTTACATAGCAGTGATCTGCTGAACGCAGCATTAACGTTATTTGTCCATGCACAGATAAAYTGTGTGTTTCTTGAACTAAAATTTCACATAAAGCAACGTTGCTGATTAGAATTACTTTTGACACACGTGAAAACTTAAAAGATATCGATTCACTTGCTCACATAAAAACATATCACTTGAGAGCAAAAAGAAGTGACAAATGGATACTAGAACTGAAAACTGCCTAAAGCATGTAAACAGGCTCACTTTTGAAGTAGCCATATTTAAAATTCTAGGCATTTACTCAGAAGCAAAACATGGTTCATAACTTATATTCACAGATTTCCTCTGAGATATGAACCTTAATTTATAAGATTCATAACACATTACTAAAAAGTCAAGACTACTTGTCATAAATAACAAGTTTGTTTAGGACTGCAAGTGGGTGATCTAAGAAGCGGTAATTTGTTTTAAAAAATTCAGCTAAGKCTATGAAGTTGTGTTCGAAGGGCTTATCTATGTATTATAACCTAGTACTTTTTATCCTGAAAGTATCAAACAAAYTTTTGCTTTGAACTTTTATTAGAAGCTTTGCTATGTGACACAGCCTTAATGAGTCTCGAAGAATACCTCTCCATATCCCCTAGCAACAAACCCTGCCCAAAGCATCAGAAGGAAACAAAACTTTTTGCCTGAATTCTAGTAATCCTTTTTGCCCCGTAAGAAGCAGTACCACCAATTAATGCCTTCTCTTTATATGTAAGGGGTAAGAAATTTTTGTATTCAAATCTAGTAGAGAAATAATATCAATACATCTGTGAAAMAGAATACAAAACTACACACAGAGACCACAGAATCACAGAGTGGCTGAGGTTGGAAGGGACCCTTAGAGATCATCTASTCCAACCCCCCTACTCCAGCAGGGTCACCTACAGTACAGGGTGGCATCCAGGCRGGTTTTGAAGATGTTGGAGAAGGAGACTCCCTAACCTCCCTGAGCAGCCTGTTCCAGGGCTCCGTCATCCTCACAGTAAATGACTCACGAATTAYGCTTTCATGTAGAGTTAATCTAAGAAATTAATCTACAGTTAATCTAAGAAATACACAGGTATACTAAACCACTGTGATAAAACCATGTCATACAGCTAGAATTTCCATCTCTAATTCAGTTTAAAACACTTCCAAAGTTTAAACACCAATATTCTTTTTTTAAAGCAGCTGTACTGTCTCAAAAGGAAATGACTCTACATATCAATATATCTCATGCATCTTAACACCTCCAAAGAATTTCAACAGATCTGTGGTCACATGACCCTGCTTTACAGGTCTCTACATGCTCATCAGCTTCCTTCTTTACTATATTTCTACTATTTAGCTGCTACAGGCACTTAGCTTATCAATTTATTTTTTCCCCTAGATCTCCTTTAGAACTTTGCTTTAAAAGTTTCCTACTTCAGTCCTCATATATGAAGGCAGGTCTAYCCAAACAGCTACATGACACAAGCAATTCAGCTTTTTCATTCATGAGTTCATGAATGAAAGTGATCAAGTTTAAATCTGCACTTTATATACTTAATTTATCTAAAAGGAGATTTATCTTAGGGATCCSTCAAAGGGAATAGAGGCCAAGTGTATGAAGTTCAGCAAGGCCAAGTGCCAAGTCCTGCACGTTGGTCACAAACTCTCTACAGGCTTGGGGCAGAGCAGCTTGGGAGCTGCGTGGCAGAAAGGGGACTGCGGATGCTGGCTGACAGTCAGCTGAACGCAAGCCAGCAGTGTGCCCAGGTGGCCAAGGGGCTCCTGGCTTGTATCAGGAACAGAGCAGCCAGCAGGACCAGGGAAGTGACTGTCTCCTTGTACTCGGTGCTGGTGAGGCCTCACCTTGAACATCGTGTTCAGCCTTGGGCCTCTCACTGCGAGAAAGAAATTGAGGTGCTAGAGCGTGTCCAAAGAAGGGCAATGAAGCTGGTAAAGAGGCTGGAGCACAGACCTCACAAGSAGTGGCTGAGGGAGCTGGGGTTACTTAGTCTGGAGGAGACTCTAGGGAGACCTTATTACTCTCTACAGCTATTCAAAAAGAGCCTGCAGTGAGATGCGGGTTGATCTCTTCTGCAGAATAACTAACAATAGCACAAGAGGAAACTGCCTCATGTTGCACCAGGGGAGGTTCAGGTTAGACATTAGGAAGAATTTCTACACAGAAGGCTGCCTAGGGAAGTGGCGGTGTCCCTTTCAGTGTTGAAGAAACATGCAGATGAGGCATCTAGGAACATGCTTTAACAGGTTTTGTGGTGATGAGTTCACAGTTGGRCTTGATGATCTTGAAGGTCTTTTCCAAACATGATGACKCTATACAAAGCGTATATACAAAGCRTATATACAAAGCGTATATACAAAGCGTATATACAAAGCGTATATACAAAGCGTATATACAAAGCGTATATACAAAGCGTATATACAAAGCGTATATACAAAGCTTTACTTTGTATTCACTGTAACATGACAATTTTTTAAATTCAAGAAATAAGAAAACCTCTTACCATGTACTATTTAGCCATTAAGGCAAAGAATTGAATTGCAAAAGTAGAAAATCAGAGATGAAAACAAATAAAAATCGCATTTAGTGCTTTAGTTAGATGGAATGCATGTTCATTATAGAGTTTTCCTRTCAGGTAGAAATTCACTGTAAGTGAATTCAATTTTCTGCACATTACACACTACACTAAATTCTGAGGCACAAAAATGCATGCAGTTTAGAAATGCATTCTAAGAAATTAGTATCTTATTTCTGGGAAAAAAAAAATCAAAATCCAGTAAGTAGCTACATTTTCCTCATGGAGTGCATTACACCATCAGCTACTTTCTACTCCTAYGGCATTTATTCTCTTGTTGATATTTCTGACAGTATTAGCTGTCTAGCCCTTACTGATCAGCTATCTTCCACACTCATATTTTGTTCAGTCCACCTCAACAAAACTCAGTACACATCTAGCAAAATGTCCACGACTTATTTCTGGTATCTTTGAGCACTCTGGACACCTCCCTCTCCATGTTCTTCTAGATACATGTCAGAGGGCACCTTCTAAACCTTTGCTTTCTTCAACCTTTCATTTTTCCAGTATCGAGTGCTTCAGACTGTCAGCACAACTAACCCTAGCTATGATAACTGGGGACAAGCTCTATGCATAGCTAGGTCTAAGTAGCCTAACTGCACCTTTGTAATATTTCCTCTAGATCTGTGGTTACATGAGGATTTTGCCCATACCAGAATGCTCTGCAAACAGGACAGTCTGAAAACCCTCCAATAAACTGTCTAGATTTGTCATACGATCAGAAGAGTAACAGGAAACAACTCAATAATTACTACCCCTTATTATCATTATTACTATGGGGACAAYAGCTGTGTAACTTGAAAAGAATTTCCTACTACCAGTAGCCTAAAATTTACAGTAAAGTTTCCTAGGGTAGAATTTCAGAATTTTGGTCATGAAAAAGAAACTTACTCTATGAGCGACAACAGAGGAGGAGACGATAAGAAAACACAAACACCCCATCCCACGTCAAACTAAGTTAAAAACACACCACATATACCCCTCAAAGGGGAGCAAAGCCAAGTGTCAAATATCTCAYAGAACTGCGTCACCAATGCCGTAGTGCTAATTGTTATTAATACATTAATTGTATGAAGAATGACCCTCCTTTCAGGAATTATTATACAAGAACAAACACAATGTATTTTTCTTCCTCTCATTAACTGGAATCCACCTAACCTAGTGTTGTGGTTTACTAAGAAAAAGGAAACCAAAACAATGAAGTTGCAACTCTTCCTTCCTTTCCCAAGATTGTTTAGCRGCACTCTTATGGTGGCAACTTTTCTCTGCAGTAAAAGACAACAGACATTATTTTCTAATTGGTTCTCTGCTTAAGGGATGCCTTAGTGGAGTCCTTGAGGGAAGGAGACACACAGCTGTATTTAATAAAAATATCCAGGCTGTATCGGAGTCCTTGAGACTACTCTTATCTTTCCAGTTCAGAAAAATAGTGTTTTGCTTTGAGAAATGAATTGCTTCGCTAAGCATATTTAATCAACCACTAACTTTTACCAAAATAGAACTCTAGTTTAAAGAAGCCAACGTGATTTGTTTTCCTTTTTTCTCTAAACATTATAAATAGAAWCGAGATTTCAACACCAGCCGCCAGCTGAACGGCTGGAGGAGGGTCTGCAGGAAAGGCGCCCGGGCCGGTCGGTCCGAGGCTCGCCGCGGTGCCACGCCGACAGAACACGCGTGGGAGGCAGCAGCGGAGCCACCGCGGGCCGCGGCGCCCGCAGGCCCCGGCCCCCGAGGAGCCGCGCAAAGCGGAGCAGGACAGGGCGGAACAGGCGGAGCGGGGGAAACAAAGCGGCCCGGGCCCGAGGCACGGCCCAGCGGGACCCCGCGACAGGAACAGCTCAACTCTACCCGGGACGCGCCGCCCGAGAGGGCCCGCGGGCGGCAGCAAGAGGCGGCCCGGGGGCTCCCACCCGCCGCGGGGGGCCCCGCGCCCACCTTGGTTGCAGAAGAGGCTCCAGAGCTTGGCGAAGAGCAGGCCCATGCCTGGCCTGGCCGGGCTCCGCGGCCGCCGAGCCCGGGAGCCGGCGGGAGGCGCGAGGCCGCGGCGGGGGCTGCGGGGCGGGCGGGCTCGCGCGCGGCCCCGCCCTCCGCAACGGCCGCCCCGCCGCCTACGCGGCGTGCCTGCGTCACCAGCTGCGTCACCGCGTACGCGCGCGGCGCGTGGGCGTGCGCCGCGTCACGCAGGGGGCCGCGGGCGGCTCCGGTGCCGCTGGAGCTGCGGGAGGGCCGGGGCAGCGCGCCCGGACCGCGGCTCCTTCCCGCCGCTTCGAACGGGGCTCCGGGCGCCGCGGCAGCTCTGCGGGCAGCGAGGCGCTTCCTCCCGCAGGCGCCGGGGCTTTCCTGTGTGCTGAGCGCTAAGGGGGGCGGGAGCACTAAGGGAAGCGGGCTCGTTCCTTGGTCTGCGCCTTTAGTTCCCGACATCGAAGCTCCCCCTGGTCCGGGTATCGTTGCACTCGTTTCTAGCAGGAAAGGGGCCTCTTCGTGCCTGAGCTGCGGGAGCAGCCCCGCGCCCTGCCGCGCAGCAGCGCTTATCCCCGCTCAGCCGAACACCAAAGCTGCGGGCAGCGCGCTTACTGAGGAGGCCGGGCCGAGCCCGCCGGGCCCCGGGCCGCCGCCTCCCGTGGCGTGTCTGGCTCCCATGGTAACGCCGAGCCGCCAATCCTCAGCGCCCGCGGGGGCGGGACTTCCTGACACTGCCCGGAAAAGGCGGGACCGGCCGGGCGCGCGGCGGTAGGTGCGGGGTGGGAGGTCCCGGTCCCGTCGGGCAGAGCTGCCGCCGCGCGGCTTCCCCCTCATCCCAGAGCCTTTGGTGTTGGAGCTAACGGGAGAGGAGGCCGCGAGCGGCGGGGCCGGGCCCGCTGGAGCCGGCGCCGCCCTGCGGCGGGCGCGGCCGCTCCCTGCGCCGCCGCTCGGGAGGGCGCCCGCGCCGAGGCCGCTGCCGCGTCCCCCCCGGCCGCCTGCTCCGCCTTCCCGCGCCTGGGCGCCCTCCCCGTCGCGGAGCGGCCGCCTCGGCGCGGGCCTCCCCGCGGCAGGGGCAGCGGGTGCCCGCTGCAGGCCGAGCCTCTGCCGAGGTGGCTTCAGACCGGCCCCCCCGCTGCCTGCGCGGGGTTCGTGCTTGCAGCTGCCCCGTTTTCCCGGSGGAGCGGTTTGCGAGGGTGTGTTCCCGTTGCTGAGCAGGGATGCTGGTTGCAGGGAGGCTGGAGTTTCTCGTATTTGCCGCCACAGTGTGTGTGTTGAATCCATGGGCGTTGCTGYGATGGAGCAGCTCTTCAGCACTGACCTCTTGCACCAGGCTCTATGAACTGGTCCCAGTTAAGACTTACTTTTTTTCGCCGTTTATGTTGATAACATTGTCTTGTTGGTTTGTACCGAGAGACCCACGCTGCCCTCTGATAGCACATTTGCACTGGTAGCACATTTACACATCTTGGTTACRTTTTGTGCAGTCTGTCCTGCTTGAGGAAAAATCTTGGAGCAAAAACTTATGCTTTTGACCAACTACCTGCATATTTTATATAGTATTTTTCAGTCATTTCACATTTTAAAAAGGAATTCAAGAACAAGCACTGTCATATTGGGCTTCAAGAAGTGTCTGCAAGATTACTGTTACTGTAAAATATCTATTGTGTGTTCTAGAGAAAAAAAAGCATAATCTTAATAGTAGATGTAATTCAATTCTTAATAATGCATGATAGTTTTCAAATTCTGCTTAATTGCATTCAGGATTCCCAGTATCTTAAAACTTCATTTTTAATTTCTTTTTGAAGCATCAAAAAGTTTGTTATATTTATGAAGCAGGAAATTTTCCAAATGTGAACCATAAATTTTTATTTTTTTTATTTTTTTATTTATTTTGTCTTCAATGTAGGCATCCTAAAGCAACAGCTCAGGGGCTTGGTATGTCACGTTGTCTAAAAATATTAAAACCAAACTTTTGTCATTTAGGTTGTTGTATAAACTATTTTGGTACTGTTAAATTGGTTAGAAAGTTGTTAGACTAAGATAATTTTTTATGAGGCCTTTTGCTAGATTCTAAAAATATGTTAATTCAATTACAGGCTATTTTTTCAGAGTCTGCTAAATCTGCATCATACTGAACCTCCCCTCCATAAAACTGAAAATTGCTTTTGTCTGACCTTGAAAATTCAATCTAAATGAGCTAAATCTTCTAACATGAAAGTTCAACTGAATCTGTAATATGAAAAACATATTTTTGGTCTTCTGTGTGGTGAAAGTCATATGCAGCCTTTAACCCAAAGACCCAAAGTATTATGTCCAACTTCCTGGTGCAAGTTCTTCAAGTATGCTGAATAACATGAGAATGTAGTAATTTAGTATTCAGATTTCCTTATTATGGATGGAATAAACCTTACTGACAGTGGGAAGTTCTCACTTTGATTTAAGTCAGTTTAAATAATCTATTAAATTCTTAGGAATTTTCACTTCAGCCTGAAGTGTGTGTTTCAGACAGAGAAGAATAATTCCCCCAAACACAGGCTATCTGAGAGCGGGCAGATGTGCTTTTGGGTAGACAGCTGCATTTTCTTGCCTATGTAGAAAAATAAACAGAAATTTCACAAGGAAATAAGAGCTGCAATAGGGACTGTGTAGCCGGACTTTGCAGAATGATCAAAGCAACATCTGAAAACTTCCCTTGAACTTTAACCGTGTGGTTCTCACCAGACAGCTTGAAACTTTCACAGTAAGGTTCAGCAGAGCTTTATCTTCTTTTATTTTTTCTTTATTAAATTCTTCTATTTTTATGAAACAGACTTACAAAAAAGCTTATGCTAGTTTAAGTCTTTAAGTCTGTGGAAAAAAATAACATTGTAGCCCACATATCAACACTTACAGAACTAGGATCATTTAAATTATGAAGGAAACTAAAAAGCTAACCTTGAAAAAAAAATCAAGTCTGACAGGGAAAAAATAGAAGATAGTCTCTAGAAATGATTGCAGTAATATAATAAAAGGACTTCAGAAGAGTCAGAACTGATTATATTTCGTGTGGAGTCATTGGGGGTGAATTCCAGAACTGAGCTACAGATTTTCCTCCATGACAACCCGAGGAACTTTAATATATCAGGATTTAGAGCCTGCTACACCTTCCTCACATGTTAAACCCTAACGCTTGCACCTTGCAAGGTGCAGCTGAAATGCTGCGAGTGACAGTAATGAAACCAGTAACCTCCTCCTAGTGTATTTATCTGACACTGCAGATACTAATCATGTTAATTAACCTATGCTGAAATGTAATTAGCAATAGCATTGAAGTTATAGCCTGAGCAATATTTGGAATTTTTAGTACAGTAACATTGCATTCTCCAGCAAGAAGAATGAGAAAGGCCAGGACTGCTTAGTTGATGGTGTATCTTATGTTACATTTACCAAATTAGAGATAGTAAATATTGCTAAGACATTATGTTGTTCTTTTTAGTTCTTTACCAGCAGATTTTAAATACTGAGGGATGATGGCTTTCTTCCCCAAAATATCCTTTCAACCTGAAGTTGAAGAATATCTCAGCAAAGTGTTCAGAAATAGAGAGGTATGTGAGAAATCCTGTACTGTACGGATTACTGTACCATCAGGGATCACGTATATGACCGTGACACATATTACAGTGACATATTACAGTGATCACTTATCATACAATCATTAATATCTCACAAGAAAATAGTATTTATTTGACTATTCAGATTTAAAGTCCATCTGTGGACTTTAAAGCTATTTTTAGGGATACTTATGTTTAAAATATTCTTTAAACCTGTTGGCTCAGAATTCTACAAAAACGTTTAAGCTAGACTTTGCATAAATCTAAGGCTTCAGTCTGTGATCTCAATGAAGAAGGATCACATGAGAATTAACCCCATAGTATAAACAACAAATCCTGCTTTACTGCAAAACCAAAAGGATGCTGGGCAATCTATGAATTCCTAATGTAAATGCACAACAAAAATATATTTCTTTTATATAAGAGAGTTACAAATCTGTATTTCTGTATCTCATTTACTGGGTCCTTAGGCCTATGCTTTGTACAGGACCTCAGAGTTCACAAGTGGTGAACTTTGGTTCGTGTTGCAGCCTGTGATCTTGCTAATATGAATAGTTTTTCAGTGAGTCCTTTTCAGGAGATTAATGAGGTTATCACTGGAGTCAGGAATTTTAAAGAATAGCAACTGTCCGATTTTTTACATCACAAAACCATATTGCACTATTTGTGTGTAATGTTTATTCAGTGCTTTTCTACCTAGAAAAAGAGGGTACTGTATGAAGCTGCTTAATATTTATTTTAAAATTTCTTTTCAGCTYTTAGCTGCTTTAGGTGCACAGGAAGCAGAGAATAGATATCAGTCTCTGTTAAGTCATCTGTCTCATCCACCAGCTTTCACGACCGTTAGAGTAAATACACGCTTGGCCTCAGTGAAACATGTGAAAAGTTTGCTGCTTGATGAGATTCAGCAGGTTTGTGCCATTTCTGTGCCAGTCATATTGATTCCTGACAACATTTAAATGTTAAATGAAAATTTGTTATCTATCAGTAATCAGCAGCTAATACAACAAGAAAGGCAACGGGGTGGAGAAAGACAACCAGCTCCTTTGCAAAACTCTAAAAAGCTAATATAAAACATAAGATACAAAATGCAGTACTGGAGTGAATTAGGTCATTTGGCTGTAGTTTYTAATTCAGAATTTCAGGCATATCAATTGGGGCCATCAATACACCTGTATTATTTTTCTGAATATTATCATGGGTTAGGATTAGGATTGCGATACTGCTGCTGTATTGTATTGTATGGTTGTATAGTTTTGTAGGCTTCAGAAGCCTACAGAAGACAAYAGAAATAGATAAAAACTGTAGGTCAATATAAAATGTGTGGTGTGTTTAGAATATGTTTTAGTAAATATTAAAAGAGAATGGGTCTGTATTTTATTGTGGAGACTTCTAGGAGGTTGAGAGAGTCTGTATATTCAAGGAATTGAGCCACAGTGGTGCCTTGCAACTGCTATAATTTGTTCATATGTTTTTAATCTTTCTATTTTTTCATTATTATTTTTACTTGTCTTAGTTAAACATAACTATTTCTTCATCCAATTATATAAAACCCATAATGTTTAAGAAGTGGATCATTTTGCAGTGCTATCCTACATTTCCACTCTGTAAAGATCCTGTTCTTCTATAAGTAAATTATTAATGCTAGTGGCTGTACAGGGAGCTACTGCATGACAGGAGTCAAGACATTTCTGTGATGCAGAGGCAGTTGACAGTGCTCTGTTGGCTGGGTTGGCAATAAGTTAGGCTAATTTTAACTCAAATTGTGGAAGTCTAGAACTGGATATTGCAGTATGATACTGTACTTTAATGGAAACTGCTTTGCTGAAACTGAATTAAGACACGTTTTGTGAATTTTTATATTTTAAATTGTTATTACTAGAAAACTAAACTACAAAGCAATTTAATCCATTTTAACAGTATTATCCAATATCCAAGTGTCCCACTGCATGAAATGAATTCTCTAAGTGAGCTCCTATGGGGCCTTGCTATTTCATACATTATTATTACATTTTTTTTTTACACCAAATTTATAATAGAGACTGTCTCTTCACACCCCATTTCCAAGCTCTCTCAACTGTTGTCACTGTTGTGTTTGTACCATGTGCAACTGTGTATTATGGATAGAAAATATTTTTCAATATCATTAAGTACTTGTTTGTTAATACTGTTAATACTTGTTTGTTGTAACTTGTTTGTTAATATTGTTATTTATTCGTTTGTTTGTTTTACTTAACAGCAATTTAAAGGACTAAATGTTCCGGTCCTTGAGCACCCAAAAATCCAGGACATACTATTAATTCCTGTCATTGGACCCAGGTTTGAAATTTTCAGATTTGAATCTTAGCATGCTGCAACATGTAATCTATACGGATTGAGAGTTAAAGCAATTGTGAGGAACTCACTATAAATATAGTATAATGGGCAATCTGTTGTCTTACCTATGTCAGATTTTTGGCCCTTAAAAGATATAATAAAACACAGAATTCTTTATTTATGAGATAAGCCTTTAATAGGGAAATTGTAACATTATTAGATCCTTTCCAGAAAGACGGGAAGGTGACAGATTGAAGAACTAGAATTATTTTGGGGGAGATARTGACAGGGTGAGGTAGCTTAATATAGTGCTTTCTTCCCCTAGAGTTAAATCCAGAGCAAAAATTCAGGAAGACTGGCATCAGTGAGAAGGAAAGTATTTCCTGACTCAATTTTACCCCTTAGAAAATGACTAGTTGTTCTACATTCTTCAAGTGTTCTTRGATATCCCTCAAGCTGCCTTTGCATCTGCTCCTTTGGAGTTTCTAAATTCCTTAACCAAATTCATTTATGGACATCTTTTTAAAAAGATGGACATACTATTTAAAGTTTCTTGTTGAAGACCAACATATTCTCCATCTGTCTCCATCTACCATGATTATATCAATAGTAGCAAGCAAGGTTGAGCATATGAATGCTCAACCCTGTGAAATAGCATTTACTGATTCTTTTCTTCCCTTATTCRCAATTAATTATTTTTTGCAGCTTATCTTTCTGAACATAATATTCCACAATTCCTATTGTTATAGGCAGACGTTGCAGTTGTTAAACACAAATGGGATACATCTGCATCCTAATATAATTTATTTRTATTTCAGGGTCATGTTTAAAGGAACAGCAAAGGGTTTCTGCATTTGTTTCTTTAAGGAATGATTGGTTTCTTTTTTGGTTCTGCCCTTTGCTTCCTCTRGGACTGAGATCTTTTATATTTAATCCATGATATTTACATATTTCTGCCTTACATTGCTACAAAACCAGTATTTACAAATCAGAGGGCCTACTGTGGGGAGGATGGAGATAAATTTCTTTCAGTAGGTTTCTTGTTGGTTTGTTTAAACTGAGCCATATATTTGTAGGCATGATATAAGAAGACATGACTCTGAAGTCATTGTTGGAGCCCAGTGTGGTTATGCTGTACTTCGAGGAGCACATGTGTATGTCCCGGGAATCATATCTACCTCCAAAGGTAAGAGTTCTCTAAATAAACTCAGGCTTTAGAGGGGTAATGTATCATCCACTGATGACTATTTCCAATAAATAGATTGCCATTTGATTTTTGTTGTTGTTGTTCTGTTTGTAGTCTTAGAGTTGTAGCATGTATTGAGGGTATATTTTAAGCTTATCTGGCATTTGTTTGAAATTTTCATCAGTGTTGTGCAATAATAATAACAGATTATGTATAATTATTTTTCATTTAGGCTAGGTAGCTTTCAAATATATGATTCCTAGCTGAAGTATTAGTTTGAAAGATTCCATATTTTTCCTATTTTCGTATGAAAATATTTTAAGGAGTGTTTGAAGTGAAGCCTGGATTTTTAGTGATTACATAGTGATTACAGTAACTTTTAATACTCATCTTCAATTAAATTTAGCAAAGTTTGTCACTTTTCCTCTCTTGCCAAAGTAAAATGAGTGATGAAGCAGRTATGTCTAGATAGCAATGGGATATATATTGATTAATTGCCCCTATTTCAAGATGTGKTTTTTTGCATGTTCTTACCAAGGCATTTGACTTCATGATCCTGCAGGATTCCAGTTCTAGAAAAGCAAATTTCTTTTTTCTTAACTTTTGAAAATTTATTTGAAATTGTGYGTGAGATCTAAAAATAAAAATATTTCTATTGATGAAAAAAATCTATTTTATTGACTTAGGCTCTTAAGAATAGGAAATATGACTTTTTCTGCCTCTCAGTGCCTGAGAGGTAAGATTAAAAAAAAATCTCCTATGTATAATTAACCAATCTTAACCATTCAGTGATAATATGAATGCTTAGTGTTCAGCAGGCTATTGAAACAATGCTATTTTGCCTTTAGGAGTGATATTAACTTCATGTGCAACCTATATAATTTTGGACAATTCACCTTATTATTTTATTGTGCTGATAGCTACTAATCATTGTGATTCTTACTATTAAATAGACAAAGTCAGGAAGGCATTTTCCATCCACTTGATTTCATTCCTATTCAGGAAAAAAATCTTTAACAGGTCCTTAGTTTTAAGCATATGCTTAAGACTAATTCAYGGAACAGGAATGTTTTTCAATCAGGACTTGATAAGAAAATAAGTATATTGCTGTAGCAGCTGTTGAAACTACTTATTTAGACTTCATAAATATTCAAGCCTCTCTTTGAGTTAACTGGTGATTTATCATAATTGCTGTGTCTAATTATGCATGCATCATCTGATGCAAAATAAAGAAGATCCTTTCACTAAAATTGCAGGAACATTTCAAGGGAATTTCAGATGGGAAAATAAAATAGGAAGGCATCTTCCCACTTCAGACTAAATATAATACGGCCATAAGTATAAATAATGCAACCAGCGAATTAGAGTTAAGCAAGAGCAGATATTTTATCACTGTACTAGCTACCCAAAGGAGAAAAAWACTATTTGTCAAGGGACTTTGAGTCTAATTTAATTAATATCTAAGCATTATGCTAGATTGAGGGGAATGCCAGTATAGTTATCTCAGTGAACAAAAAGCTTAAGATATGGACATAGCTCTAAGGATTTTTGGACAGAAGGTTGTTAGCAAGGAGTGAAACAAAGCTTTTTGCTTTAGAATACTGCAAAAAAAAAATCATTGACAAATGTTCTAGGTTAAATAGCTGAAAGTTTTAGTTACATGAAGATTAAGTAGATAATAACAATAGGCTATCACGTGTTTTGAGTCACATTTTATAAGAAGTTATCCAAAAATTAAATGTTTAGTAGCTACCTTTCCTGTTAGGAAGGCCCCTTGAAAACAGAGGGGAAAAAAAAAAAAAAAAAGGAATATTCATTCATACAACTCTCAGAAACAGAATTTTTGGGCGGATGTGCTGTCATTTGTCGTTTCGCTTGCATCTTCTGTGCTGTCATTTGTCGTTTCGCTTGCATCTTCTGGATGCTTCATCTAGTCAGCAACCTAAGAATTTGGAAAATGTTTTATTGCTGTCAGTGGAGGCCTTTGTTTTTTAAGTACACTTTTCAGCCAGGCTGTGGATAGAACAAGCTTTCTTTACTCTTCTATAGAATCAACTAAACCAACCCTCCTTCCCCKTTATTTTGGCTCCAGTTCAGAAAGGTAGTTCAAGTTACTAGGGCTGCATGACTCCAGAGTTCAGTGTATGTTTATGTACATACCTGGACTGGGGGCTATAACTGGAGAGGCCAAGACTTCTGGAGGATTATTCAGAAACATCYGTTGTGTTAGAGGTAGGAAGAGAGGCACATCTCACAGCTTGTCTCCACTGAGGAGCATATGTTCAAGGCAGTAGTTAGAATTTAAGCAGCTTTCCAGCAGCTATGTTCGACCTAGGCACTGAAAACTTGTTAAGCAAATTTAATATTACTATCTAAGTCATTGCCTCTAGCTGTAAACCAGTGCGTTTCAGTATACTTGAGTGTGCCTGGAGTGTGCATGGAGGGYGAAATCCCCAAAAGTGGTCTTAAAACTCATGGGTGACCACGTGGTGATGGAATAAACCAAGAGATTTGTCTAGCTTCTTACAAAACAAAAAAAAATTGTCTAATTTCTAACAGAATCTTTCAATATCTAGTTATATGATAACCATCATTTACCATGTACACTTTGAAACCTAAAACCAGTGAGTCTCTTAATCACAGCAAGTCTAACTTTCCCTGTGATATAGGAGCTAGAGTAAGTAGTCCACTCAAAGTCCGAAGTTACTTGGTTACTACTGTTTTGTACCAGATTAATGTCAAAAATTTCTTCTCTTTGAACAGTTTTGAAAGCTGGAGATTTAGTCTCGGTGTATTCAGATATTGAAGGGAAGTGTAAAAGAGGAGCAAAAGAATTTGGAGGCATCAAAGTTTTCCTTGGAAATGGGATTTCTGAATTGAGTCGCAACGAGATCTTCGGTTCAAATGGTCCACTGAAGTAAGTCCCTGGGAGCTGGAATTTACACCTGCAGCTTTGGAAAGGGGAGGGAGGAGACACCAAGGCATTTTGAAGTATTTTGTACAGTATTTGAACCAGGTGATAGTTTTGTCCAAAACCTGTATTGCACATAGGAATTTCTAGCATCTTTAGGGAAGTTTTAGCTTGTGTTAGTCTAGTGGAATTTTATTAGCAATTTCAACATCTAGTGTTTAAAAAAAAAAAAAAAAAGGCACCTAACTAATATCTGACTTTATTATCAGGAAAAAAAGTGACATGTTCACTGGTAAAATTCTATTTTGAAGTACTTCCTTGCTGTATCAATGAAATTGAAATGTAGAGTTGCCCTTTCCTGTATCTCTTAAAAATGTCTTTAGAGTTGGAGGAGCAGCACATCAGATCAGCTSTCTTCAAAAAATACTATAACACTATTTGCCAGGATAACTAACAAATTCAAGATTACTTGCTCTTCTCTWTTGCTTTAAAGTTTGTTCCTTTTTCTCTCATCCAAAATACATTTGGAAGCAGTGTATAAACAGCATTACAGTGGCTGAAAGTTTACATCATCAGGATAAACTACAAAAGGTTTAGTAAAAAAGATTATATTGTTAGAGGATTTCAGCTATATTRTAGCTTGAATGTAGCAGAGGTGGAAGTAGCGTATTCCGATTCAGTTGATGACATGCAATGATAGCACTAAATATGGAGTTTACAATTTGCTTTTTCATATCTATCATTATTCAGCTCTGTGAAATATATGCAAAAAGTAACTGATTCTTAGTATCTTCAATAATTTATTGCATATTTTTCAGATTCAGTATTATTTGTCTTTGTTGTCCATTTTCTTGTTATAACATTGTCTTACCCTAATAAAATGAATTAGATATTACAATTCATTTCCATCAAAAATTCAGGTTGCTCCTGAGTTTAAACCTTTGATTTGCAGGCACATAAGGGGAAATGATGTTCTTTAGATATTCAAGAAAAATCTGAGACGCTCTAGAAAAATGGAAGAAGAGCTATACCAGCCACAGTTGCTGTGGACTGAAATCAAGATATTTAGGTCATATTAAAACATGTGTTTATGCATAGATTTGTACTGTTGAAGCTTTGACTAGATATCAGGTTGTCTTATGTACAAAGCAGATTATACAARTTATATAGACCAATTTATAATGCAGCGTATTTTTTCTTAAAGTTTACCTGGAATAGTRGTGTCATTTTAAAGAATATCACGTTACAAAAGTTTAACAATATTTGCTTTGTTTATTTAACAAAAGCAATTTATTTGCTATTATTTTTGTAAAATTTTGTTTCAAGTTATTAATATATAAGCATTGTGATTTAAATTGAATAGTGTTAAAAATATAAATCTGAGTAATTAGAATAAATTGTTCCATGTTTTTCAGTGGAATGGGTGTAAGAATGATAGAGCCAGTCTACCTTAGTCCTTCGTTTGACAATGTGCTCTCCAGTCATTTGTTTTTACAGGTATGTTTCTTTTTACAAAAGAAAAGGCTGTGGTATTTGCAGAAGAGTAAATACTTAAGTGCTTATGAGGGCTCTTTATATGCATTATGTATTACTGCATGTAATTTACAGCTTAAAGAGAATGAATCATTTAAGGTGAACACAGTATCTTCTTGTAGCTGGTTTAATCATAGTAACTCTGTCTCTGTATGTGACTTTAAGAGATATTCACTTAAAAGCTTTTCAAGCTTAATCAAGCTATACAGAACTTAAAAAAATGGTATTTTGCATCTGCAGATGCAAATTTTAGCTCCTATAAACCCTTGTTCAGAGGTATACTCTTAAATTCCTACTAAGTTACCTCCTCATTTTATTTATATAACTGTCACTCAAATAGGTAAGTCTTTTATTGCAGTCTTATTCATAGTTTCTTCTATTAGAAATTTAATCAATATTCTAAAAGGAGAATCAATGCTGTTTTCTGGTGTGAGCAAAGTGTAGTTTATCAAGCAATGTGTTATCTGATGGCCTGCAAAAAGGAGAGCCTTTTTATTCTCTGGTTCAGGTTATCAGAATTCTTACTTTAAAGGAACAGAATTTTTAGTGCTACACACATGAGAATTTAACTTCAGTACTAAGGTTTGCATTTTAGTAGTGCAATTTAGTTTTAAACACCTAGTAGAGAATTCCTCAAATTTCATGGAGTTCAAAATTCTTTTGATTTCTGTTTGAAGTGTATATTTTTGGTATATTTTCTGTATATTTCAACTACAGAACAGTTAAGTTGGAAGGGATCTCTAGAGATCTAGTTCAACCCCCTTGTCAAAGCAGGATCATCTATTCCAGGTTGTTCAGGAACCACTTAAGCTTTGAATATCTACAAGGATGGAGACACCAACCTCTCTGAGCAAAGTTTTTTCCAGTGTTCCTTCACATTCACAGTAAAAAAAAGCTTATCCTGTGTTCAAGTGCAATTTCCTGTAACAGAATTTGTGCTTGTTGCCTTTTGTTCTGTCACTGGGTATCACCAGGAACAGTCCAGCATTTACACCCTCTCTCCAGGTATTTATATACATCCATAAGAGCCACCTCGCCCCAAGCTSTCTCTTCTGCATGCTGAACAGTCAGTCGCTGCTCTCTTAGGCTTTGCTTTGAGCACTTCATCATCTTAGTGGTCCTTTGCTGCATTTGCTGCAGCATGTTGATGTCCCTCAGGGAACAGCACTCCAGATGCAGTCTCAGCACCAGCCTGGTGCCAGTGCCTGTTCAAAAGCAGCCCAGCATGCTGTTGGTCTTTTGCCACAAGGGCACATTGCTGGTACATACTCAGCTCAGTGCATCAAGACCCACAAGYCCCTCCCTCAAAGCTACTTTCCAGCCCTCAGGATATTCTGGTATAAGGAGATGCTCTGGTATATTCTTCCCCCAGGTGCAGTACTTGACATTTCCCTTTCCTGGGCTTCATTAGATTTCTTTTTGACCATTTCTTCATCCTTTCAATGTCCTGCTGAATGGCAGCAGTACCACCTGGTGTATCAACCATTCCCCCCAGCTTTGTATGGTTTGCAGAGTCACAGAGGGTGCACTCTGTCCCCAGCATCCAGGTYATTAATGAAGACAGTGTTGTCCCTGGTCCGGACCCCTGGAATGTGTACCATTAGTGCCTGGCCTTCAGATAGACTTCATGCTGCTGAACCTGGCTCAAACCTTTGAACCTGGCTCTTTTGACAGGAAGAGAAGGAAGTTCAGGAAGGCCTGAACTGACTTGAATACTCAGTCATTTTTTTCTATGCTGTGGCATGGAACTTGCAATTGTGATGACCAGAGGCAAGAAGTAGTAAAGGGAGTATTAAGCAGTTTGCATGTCAGACAGTTTCTGTCTGACCAGATTAGAAGGGGATCTTTCAGAGTATGTCTGTATTGTATAAGATGTAAATACTGCAAATACTGCACATTATGTCTCTCCAGTGCATCTCTTCTGTTAATGCAATTATATCTGTCAGTCATAGATGTTCATGTACGGCTTTAAAGAAAAAGGAGCCACTAGGGACTTCATATATATTGTTCCTTTTACATAAACACAGTGCTTCATCTTATGATACTGAACTGGCAGCACTATTACCTTCTGATACTGAACTGACAATAATATAAGTATTTTCATTGTTGAATATCTTTTTTTCTTCAGTGTTTGTGGTTATTTAATATAAATCTTGATATAAGTCTTAAATTTTCCCATTTCTGTTTTTATGGTAGAACTTGCCTTCTGTGGTTGTGAGCCATGTTTTAAACCCTCAGCCAGGAGAGAGAATTTTGGACATGTGTGCTGCACCTGGAGGAAAAACAACCCATCTTGCAACGTTAATGCATGACCAGGTAAGAAAGGTCATTGAGCATTTTGTGTCTCAGTGAATAAAGTCTGACCACTGATCATCTGCACAATTCATTTTTTTCTGTCAGAATCCACAGATGACTTGGAACAGATGACCATTAATATTTGAATGTTCTACTTACCAATTTATTTTGCAGTACCTCAGAGGTACTGAGGTATGAATGTTTTTATCAAATAGTCACTATCACATATTCACATATAAAACGTTGTTGGGTACAAATTGATCTGCTGAAACATATTTGATTCCTCTTTTTAAATGACTTATTTCTAATGGAAGAACATATGTAACATTTAGGACAAWTTCACTGACAAGTATGCTGGATTCACAAAATGGAGGATATGTAGAAGTTGTGGGTTGCTGAAGAGTGCCAACAAATACACAACTTTTCCCAGAAACATACCTAAAAGCTCCTAATCCAAGGAATTTGCAGTATAAGGTTATATCTGTATTCTCAACAGTTTATAGTTGCTATAGCAAGTCTTTTTTAAAAGAAAGACCAAATATATATATATACGCATACATATATTTAAGATAGTTTTAATATTTTGTTGTATGGTTGCTACAAAAAATGTGTTCTTTGTTTTTGAATTTAATCTGGCAGGTAATGCTGTGTGTCTGGGGAGGAAAAAAGAAATGTTATTCTTACATGAAAGGGATGATGTGTAGCTGTGATCCATCTCCTATGTCTAAAGTGTTTTGAATCTAGCAAGCTAAAGATCTGTCTGTGGACCTCATTCCTGTTAGGTTTATGTGATTCCATCCTCTTTTGTCTCTTACRTGACCATGCAAATTTAAACCTATTTACTATTTCCACCATATATTTGAGACATCTACCCTATTTTAAATTACTGCGTTTTTGAGTTTCATAGAACCCAGTTCTTGAAGAAGAGAAACACCTAAGTTAACCTCACTTAACCTAGCCAGAGTTGCATAATTTTAATATATATATATATTTTTAAATGACAGAAGTCAGCCATTAATTATAGGTTCCCTTTGGCAGTGATCTGGTTAAGGAGGTGCCAGTCAAAATGCACAGAGCTCCAGACTAGTGTCTATCCTTACGGGAGGAACAGAGGAACACGGAAGACAAGAGAGTACAAGGACAACTCTGGTATAGATTTATGGATAATAAAACAAAGCTTCATTTGTTGCACTACTCATATGAAAWAAAAAATCAGGAATTACACATCTAGTTAATTCCTGTGCTTAGAATGCCCAAAGTTGGAAGGGACCTCAGAGGTCATCGAGTCCAACCCCCCTGCGCACGCAGGGTCACCTACAGCACGTGGCACAGGGCTGCATCCAAGCGGGTTTTAAAGATCTCCAGAGAAGGAGACTCCACAACCTCTCTGGGCAGCCTGTTCCAGGGCTCTGTCACCCTCACTGTTAAGAAATGCTTCCTTAAGTTCCTGTGGAACTTCCGATGCTTCAGTTTGAAGCCATTTCCTCTAGTCCTATCACTGTCCACCACTGAAAAGAGGCCRCCCCCCTCCTCCTCCCTCCCTCCCTTGAGGTATTTATACACTTCTAATATAAATCTCGGATTTTCCAGGGTGAAGTAATAGCCATGGACAAAATAGCCAACAAGATGAAAAAAATTAAGCAGAATGCTGAATTGCTGCAGTTGAATTGCATTAAGACCTTCTGTTATGATGGGACAAAGGCACTTTCAGTTGAGAAGATGAAAAAGGAAGGAAATGAACAAGGTAAACACCTTAAGTAGCAGCTTTTAGAAGAAAAAGGTAGTCATATTTGTGCTAGCCCTATTAAGCCTGTCAGAATACCCACAAATGTAGAAACCTCGGTTGCTTTAGCGCAGTGGGTGCCCTTTAATTTTCTGCTCTTTGAAGATTATCACTTTATCCATGATGCAAATACAGAACTAAAACTATCTGTCCTTATCACAGCCTAATGAGCTCAAAAGAAATGCATTCCGTTTTTAGATAATATCAAAGACTAACAAGGTGTTAACTCACTTCTCTGCCTCAAAATCTTCATCTGTAAAATGGGGTTATTAATACCTAAGTCTCAAGGGCTCTCGAGGCTTAGTTTATTAATGTTTGTTCAGCTGTTTGGGGTATACAGATGGAAAGTGCTATAGAAGCACAGTATGTTATTTTAAGTTTATTTAATTTTAAGTTCAGTTCTTTTCTGAAATGCTGTATTTATTACAGTGATTCTGTTCCCATGATGGAATTATTTAAGTGGAATCTGCTGTCTTGATTATTTTTAGTTTGCTGTGCAAAGTATGCTGTTCTTTCTCGCTCTATTTTAGCCCAGTTGCTGGTTAACCTAAGAAGAGATCATCTTGCATAATTCACCTGCCTTCTCCCTAAGCCTTACAGTTTGACTGCTTTGCAGGGAAAAGCAGTCTTTCTGTGGTCATAAAATACTGTAGTGGGTACTTATCACATACAAAGCTGAATAAGAACAAGGTATAATGCTTAAGAGATCACAAACACTTTCCTGCATGGCCCTGCAATTATGACAAATGACATTCTTTAAATATTTAGTAATGAATGAGAGGTGGTTATATCAGTAGTGCCAAAATAGACTCATTTTGCAGTGCTGGAAAAAGCTAGGAAGCGGTAGGATGAAGTCGCTCACTTGTTTTCACTTGTGACCTACCTTCAATATTTGAGAAACAGAAGGAGAAAAGGAGGCAAAGCATATATATGGTGTGTGTAGATGTATACACCATATATATCACTGGTTACTTGCAGGTTCACGTGGGGACCCACTTGTGTCTTGTTGAGCCTGAACTGAAGAGTCGCTCTAGCACTAGAACTGTAATTTAAACTGCTGGAGTGTTGAGCCAGTGGGATTCAGGTGAAGGCACAGGCAATCTGTATAGAAGTTGCATATTCCATAATCTATCCAGGTAATATTCAGAAATACTTCTCCTTCCTTCACAGCTCTTGTTTACTCARTTGTTAGGTATTAAAACATATATTTCACTTCATTATATATATGCCTCATTTTTTCTACAGATACAGAAGTAACTATTACTATATAAGCAGTCCAATTACTATCCAGGCAGTCCAAGTATTACTATATAGGGCAGTCTTAGTGATTAACTACAGGCTTATCTCAGTTAAGATTTACACATATTTTTTGGTTCAGTTACGAGGTGTTTCTGTTTCCTTACAGCCTACATGTACAGCTTTGTACCCAGTACTTGTAATAAATCGAATGAAATGAAATTTTAATTTTTTTTCTRTTTTTACATTTTATTTCCAGAATATTTAATTAAGATTGAAAATTGTTACAGCCAGGTTGATCATAAATTGTTTGTTTACAGAATGGTARAACACTTTTCTGTGAGATGAAGTCTATCATCAGCAGTTCTAAGACTTGTCTGTAGCTGAGATCACTTTTGCAGRCAACATCTATAGAGCATAAATGTTTTATGATAAGTAAGCTTGTTGTTATCTGTTGTGAAGTCTCAAGAAAAGAAAGAGCCGCATATTTATCCTGCAGCTTTTACATTATTAACTGGTTTTTGCAGAAGGTCCTCCTTTTCCACCAGAGTCATTTGATCGAATTCTTCTTGATGCTCCATGTAGTGGGATGGGGCAAAGGCCAAACATGGCTTATTCTTGGACTCTAAAAGAAGTGACATCTTATCAACCCCTGCAACGCAAGCTTTTCACTGTGGTAGGTATTAATAATTGAGYAGCTAAGTTATATTACACAGAAGGTTCTGCAGTGTAAAACTTAGCTCTACCCCCAAATGGTAGCTCTTTTTTTCCTCTCCTTTTTCAGCAGTTAAATGCTGGGGTATTATTACCCAGAACAACAAATTGCCTTTTTTTTTCTGGTCAAATAGAGCACCAGAAAAGTGTTCTTTGAAACACTTTAATAAAACTGTTTTCTATTCTGCAGCTTCATCCCTTCTGAATAAACATTTCTTATCATTTCTTTGTCTTCCATTACTTGCTATATTAAGAAACCATCACGTAGTGACTTGTTTCTTTTTCATCACAAGATATCTTTGCTCAGCTTTTCCTCTTACATTCTTGAGAGGTGGCTGAGTTTAGYTCCCAGAACACATGCCTGTTATTTGCACAGATAGGTATTAGAATACAGTCTGCCCCTGCGAAGCTAGTGTATCTGGTGATAAGTTTTAAACATTTACATCTACCTAGCTTTTCATTTCTGCTCTTCATATGCTAAAAGATGTTAATAAGACACTGCAGTTTTCTTGACTATATCTTTAAATTTGGGAGTTTGTGTTCTAGGAACTAAACCCAGGCATACCTCAGGCAAGAGGAGGAGGAAGGTTTAAATCATTTAGGGTCACTTGATATATTTATGTGTATTTATATAAAAGAAAGTTTTGTTTTTTTACAAAACTTCTCCTTTAAGTGAAGAAGATGTAAGATTCCATTAGTTTGAGCAGCAATGACAGGCTATTAGCAATGTGCTTGGGCTGATTATAGGGATAGGATTTCGTGAAACTTGTCTACATCTAAATTGCAGGTATTCAAAGTAAACAAGGGCTTGAAAAACATCATATATACACACCTGTCATGCTCAATGTATGGAAACAGCTGACATGTAGTATCACTGAAGAAAGTATGTGTCTGTGATTTGYAGCTGGTGATGAAAACAGAACTTATCTGAGATGCACAGTGCTATATAAATAACATAGGAATGCATCATCGCAATGCCATTTAATAAGCTACATGAGATATAATGCTGATTTGAAAAGAAAAACCTTTCTAATTTGTAGGATTCTTTAACATATTCCTTGATAAGAATMAATATCCTAATTGCCTGCATTAGACATAACATAGTATAAATCTTTGTTATAGCGTATTGTTTCTACATACATTGTAACTCAGATTCAAAGCCATTTTGTGCTTAAATATGAGCTGAGCTACAGTTTCTTCCTCCCTATAGGCAGTGAAATTGCTGAAGCCAGGAGGGGTTTTGGTGTATAGTACATGCACTATTACACTTTCTGAAAATGAGGAGCAAGTTGCTTGGGCCCTGGAAACGTTTCCATGCCTCCAGCTTCACCCACAGGTAATAATAACTGCAGGGTACTTTATACAGTGCAGTGAGTTTTTTTGACACTGTACAATTAAGCACTGTATTTACTGTTAACAAATCCTTTTTTCAATGCAGACAATTTCAGCTGCTAGTCAGAAWTGACACAAGGATTTCTGAGGCTTTTTTAAACCTATTTTCATATCTTACCTTCATCTGGCRAACATTAAGCAGTGTTGTGGATTTAATCCTACTGCATACTATGGTAATTTTGATTTGTACAGCTGTCATTTAAAACACAGCAGGGATAAAAGTTCAGAAAGACTAAAGTTTCTCTTGTAACTCTTTGCTTGTGGCGAATATACTTTATTCTTCTACTTTACACGTTCACAGGCGAGACTAAAAAGTTAAAAACTTATTAAGGCTACTGAGATGGTGAAGAGTTGCATAAAAGATCAGAGAAAAATATAAAGAACCTGGTGTTTTGAGATTTTATATATATGGGACTCATATWTGCATTATTTAGAGGAATGAGGAATAAATGTATTTCAGGACTTGCGGCCAAGAAGTTACTTTTTATTTTGTGAAACCAGTATCTACCATTAACGTGTCTGACAGGAGGTAGCATAGGTTATGGAGAGGTACTGAAATTTTTATCTATGCTCTACACAATTCAGAATGAGAGAATTTATCATCAGACCCTGTAAGAATCTCTTGCCCTTTGTTAATATGATAGTTTAGTTGGTTAGTTGTTTATCAAAGTGGCTTTGAGGTCTAAATTTGCTATAGATTTAACACATTCTGTAATGATTTGTATCAGTCTTCAAGAAGTAAATGATAGGTTCATCTTTAAAAAAGTAATAAAAATATATTGGGTGTTCAAAAAGAGGAAAAAATACAAGAAAGATGCTAAAGATTTAATAGAACTGAGGGTTTTCTTAAAAGATTTATGTGGCAGATTTATGTGTCTTTCACCTCTTGGTTCAAATGCAGACTTCCTAACCATTTATTTATGAGGAATTTTTGAGTCCTATTTCAGGGGAGATTATATGCTTTGCCTAACAGCAGGAAAAAATGTCATTGATAAARTGACAAAGTAAAACACAGAGCCTGTTAACTCAAATGCAAGGTTCATTCAAGCTTCAATAGGCTTGATCTCACCAGTGAGATCAGCATTGAAGAAAGCACTAGTTTTTCTACACAAATGCCATCTGCATGAAAATTAAGCTCTTATGCTTCAAATTASATGACACTGGACTGTGTAATCCAAATATAGTTCTTAAAAAAAATCTTAAAACCGGTTACTAGTACAAAGCAAGGCAATTTTCCTGTGAAAAGGAAACTGGAGTCTAGGGTCAACTTACCTCCCGCTCCCTTATGTATTTCCCGTGCCCTTTAGTCTCTCCTAATGGACACCTGCCTTTTTCAAACTCCAGAAGCTCTCACTTGGGTGGCAGGGCCTGGAAACATTTGGGAAGGACAACCCAGGAGCTGGAAGCATCAGTATTGATCTCTCAAAGTGGGAGGTCACTGCGTAGCTGCCGATTCTTGGTTTGTACAGACCTAACATCTGTTAGTCAATACCCAGATTTAGAAGTGAAATCCTAAAGGCCTCACAACTTTTTTACTCTACTATTTGCTTGTAAGAGTTTTCTTGGGACAGGGGGTGATTCACTCTTGTGAGCGAGATGATTAGTACTGCTGTTTAGTACTGTGGTAAAAGGAGAGGAGCTGTGGCACCCCTTTCTCAAGGGGTTTCGGGCTCATACATGTGTATATGTGCTTATCCTACATGGTCCTGTCAGAAAGACAAGAGGACCACATTACTATTGAATTGTCCCATGCTGTAAATGATACAAACTTAGCTTGCTCATATTGTGAGCATTTAGGAAGATATTAACTTTACTCATGAAATAATTTGCTTTTCTTTTTACTTGAAAAGGAACCTCATATTGGAGGAGAAGGCATGAGGGGAGCTGGGCTGTCACTTGCCCAGTTGAAGCAGCTGCAGAGATTTGATCCATCTGCTGTGACTTTGCAGGGAACGGACATTACTGCTTTGCAAGATTCCAGGGAAGAGGATCTGATTTCACTGGCAAATAGGGACTGTATRGGGTTTTTTATTGCAAAATTTATTAAATTGAATAATAAATAACCAATTTAGCAATAGAGCCTGAAAACAGCGCGCCTSTGAGGCCCAGCACGGCTGCAGCTCAGGTGTCAACCGTGGTTCTCGCTGCCGCAGCGTTGCCAGGCCAACAGGCTGACGACACGGTTGCCATGGCAGCAGCCCAATCCGCCAGCTGTTCCCTGGGAACCAGCCACAGGTTGCGGGAAGAAAGTCACAGCTGGGGGAGGGGAGGGCCATCCTGAAGTCCCCATTCGCTCCTGTATTTACAGCAGGTCAGTGCAGGAAAGACGAGTGTGCTCAGCACCCGCCTGGTCTGTTTTATCCTTTACCACGTGCCTAGGAACAGGGCTTCACAGGGGCAGGACCRGAGTCTATCTTATTTAATGCAGTCATAAGTAAAATATACTGGGACTGCTACTGCCGATTTTGGAAGAGTTGTTTTCTGTGGAGGTTTCCCAAAATGTTTCATGAAATACTGCGAAGTGAAACGCTAATATTTCACAAAGAACTGTTTTATAAATTGATACTTAGAACCTCATTTCTCTTTTATTTTAATACAAGCAAGATTCTCTGTACACATAGTATATACACAAAATACGATTAGGCTTCGTAGCATGTCTTTTATAGCAGCATGAATATATTAAACCATCTCACTCTGGGAATGTAAATAAATATTGTTTCAACATCAAACTTCCCATGCATAAACTGTATTGGTTCTGAAATAGAGTATTGGACTGGCTGACAAATGACAGATTTAAAAAGAAACATTTGCAATAGAAGGGGTAACAGTTGTGATTAATATATCAAGAGACAGAAAACAATGCATAATACGGTCTGAATTTTGCAGATTTATCTTTCAAACAGAATATTAAGTGTCTACTTGTCAGAAAGTGCACCTGCTGAAATCACATGAAAATTGAGACTGAGGAAGCAGATTAATGAGAACTGACTTAAAACACTGCTCAAATGTTTAATAATCCAAATTGCATAAATTTGATATATAGTTGAAATCTCTGCTTCAGTTCCAGAGATGTTCTCATTTTGAACAGCATTCTCTTCACTGGCAATGGCCATAGCAATGAAATGGGTAAGAAAAATATATAAGCGTAATTCAAAGCCCTATTTTTTTTTGCCACTGATCAAATTTGAATTTTTTAAAGCGTCATTTGAAAAACATCTTTCTTTTGGCATAGAATTATTTGGTTTCATTTAACAGAATGATAATAACTTAAATTCACTTTTACTTAACTATTTCCTGTCATTGCATTTGCTGTAATCAAAACAACTTATATAATTCTGTATCTTAGTAGTCTGTTCATTTACTTGTATTTGCTAAAAATATTTTGATACAGAGTATCTTCTACCATTCTTAAATAAAACAGATGCTGCTTCTGTTTTACCAAAGGTGACTGTACTACATGTATGGTCTTCATACCTCTGGACCATGGACCTCATGAGAGGCCCATTCTATGAAGGCAGGAGAACAGAATCCTAGTCTACCACCTACTTTTGTTGGTCCCTCCTTGCAGTCAACCATGATGTACCCGATGAAGAAGAAAAATTCATCTTTTTTTTTTTTTTTGCATCAGCAGTTTGCAAAATATCATATTTAGAATCATAAGTCATATTTTAAATTATACTGTTTTTAGCCTAAATATGGCTAAAAAATAATTACTTGGTTACAAAATTTATTTTCTATTGTATGTACATGTTCAAATCTGTAGCTCAGTGCTAGTAAAAGACCATTTCACTTTTGCAGAATATATAAATTCGGTAAATGTTAATCAGCATGTATAATCAATATATTGAAATCTGTATCCACATACAAAGTGAGTAACTTTTGCAGTCATGTTCAGTAGCAGGAGCTATGTAATATTGAATCTAAAAAATTCAGAAGTGCTGGCTTTTTAGTGGGGGATTTGTTGAGACTCTCCCAGATTTCTTTAGTTCTTTAGGCCTTTCAAGAACTTGATCTCACTCAATTTTATAAGACAAGTTTCTCTGGAAAAAAAAAAATATGACCAACTTGTATGTGATTCCAGTGTAACTGCAGACCACACAACTTAAAAAGAAGCATTACCCATATCTGAACTTGCCCTATGACAGTTGTTTCTGCAAAAGTCACTCCTGGACATAATCAYAGAATATTCAGCATATTAAAGGGGTAAGCTGTTTCCCCAGGCCCTCTCCCCGTGCACAAGGGGCAGAAACTGAACAAAGGAAGGCAGGGCTATAGAGAGACGGAGACACAGGAAAAAGAGAAAAGAGGACTCCCCATCGGACGAATGACCCTTTGAAAGAGCCTCCCTCCTTCCCTTGACCACAAAAGGAGACTGATTGGATGAACTGAATGTCTAAAGTTAGTAGGATGCCCTCCTCTTTTTTTCTTTTCTTCCTATGGCTTAAAGTGCAGGTATTTTTTTTCATTTTCACTATTTTGATGTATGGAGTATGCATTTGCCCTTAAAACAGACTGTCTTTCCTGCTAAGGTAAGAAAAAAAAAGAACTGGGCATATAATCAGAGCTGTCCTAAAACAATCTGAAAAATAATTTTCTCTGTTTGCAGAAATACTTAATTATTAGTAATAGTGCCAGATCTAAATATTTATCTTGGTCAATGTAAGGATATTAAAGTAGGCAGCTTAGAAGATAGCATGAAGTTATACTAACAACTTAGTTATTTCTGTTTAAGGGTCATGGAGTCCAACAAAATGTGTAGACTGTAGGACTTCATAGACTCTTAAAGGAAAAAGGAACTAATAAGAAATCAGGGTAGTGATGGTGATCAACCAGAAATGATTTTGGGTACTTTATATATATTTATACACCCTGTGTTTTGAAGATATTTCTTCTGCTTCATTGTGACTAAACACTGAACATTGTTCATTTTAGTTAAAAGTTCCTCAAAACCAGCTTAAAAACAGTTGTTCTAGAAATCACTGAATAACTTATGAGCAAATCCAGCTATATGCTGCTAGAATTTGTTGTAGAGTTAAGTATGCAGGATAGATAAAAGTGGTAGGAGTAAAGTAAGAAAAAAGAACACAGATGAGTTAGAAGAAGCAGATTAATCTCTGTATGATGTAAAACCTTTTTTTCTTGTTGTGTAGGACCGTATCTCTAGAGTGTTATGCTAGAAACAGAAACTGTCTATAAAAGTACTGCAGGCTTAAGGGAAGTGAATTATAGACAAAGCTGAAATTTGCTGAACAACAAGTTTGAACAATATTCTACAGAAAATACTCATAAGGCGACAGCTTCCACGTATTTTACAGATGGTAAAAGTAAAATTTTGGTGAAAAATCTGTAAAATAAGGTAAGGATGTGTATTTTGTAAGTATGACAAAATGCATACAAAAGATGTCACTATCTACTACAAAAATTTCTCTGCCCCTGTTGTAGATTGTATGATAAAATCTTTTGCAATGTGATTTTCCTGAAGGGAATGGAATTAAACTCAAAATTGAAAAAAACAACAACACAAAAACCAGAGGATTAGGAGAATGAGCATTTGGGAAGTAGCTTTCTGCCTGACAGGTTAACAGGAATGARACCAGAAACAAAACTAGATTGTGAGGAGCCTTTCCTAGCTGCCCCAGGAGGTCCTTTACGCCCAGGTTCTTGCTTTGCACGGAGGCTGATGGAAACCAGTTGAACCACTCGCTGCAGTCCAGCAAAGGGACTGGTAAGGAGCAGGGACAGCTGCGAGCAGGACCAGGTCAAAACCTCTGTCGCTGTCACAGAAATTCTGACTTTACAAATCTACAGAGCTTGAAAACAGTAATTACTAGAAAAGTCATAAAACAATAATAAGGTGGCAGAATGTTAGAACTGGGCAGGAGCTGCAAGTACAGGATGCAAAGGGGCTGCTGRATGAGTGACAAGATACGCAGGGAGAAGGAAAATGAGCTCTGTACTTCAGTGTTTGACAAACGGAATTTCCTTTCTTTACTCCTTGTTTAATAAGCCTCCATAATKAGGGCTGTAAGTGAAGAGTTTCACACACATTGTGTACATTCCTGGGAAAACAGATAAACCATTATAACCCAAAGTGATTGTAGCTTTAAAATKGTCTTCATTATTTTGGGCTAAGAAACCACCTATTTACATTTTACATCATGAGAAGCATAAATTGTAAAAGATGCTTCTCCAAGTTTTAATTCTGATGCCCAACACAGAATCTGAATTCATGAGTATTCCAGAAGAGATTATTTAAAATTTTTTAGAAATAAATTTGTTGTGATTAGAGAAAATTTATTTCAAGCAGTTCTTTTTTTAAAGTGACTTACTTCCACTAACTTTGTCCACAAACCTGTTTATTTTTTCATGCTATCCTGTCCCTTAACAGGTCTGGAGACTGTTGCTCTCCCCTCCTTCCACATCTTCCTCAAGAATTCTTTCTTCCGTGGTGTCTACAGAGCACTACACTGATCCTGCAGCCTGTTGAACAGTGCTGATGAATGTTCATTTGAGAAGACATACAAAACAAAGAGTTAATATATTAAACACACATAAATRTTAAGTTGTATCCTATTCCTTTCATATGCTGAAATCCTTAGGAAAAATWCAGTGAGCACTGGTAAGACCTATGTACCACTTAACTGTTTTATCATCTTCCCTTCTTTCTCATTTGGTTCATTTTTTTTAGCTTATTTTAAGAGGAATGTTACAAGTTTTGTACCACAAGGAAGTAAGATGACTCTGGAGCTAACTGGGACCTCTAGCATTTATCAAATCCAAAGCTCTTGAAACCAGACACAGAAATAGGTGCCCACTGGTAWACTGTGCAAACAATAACATTAAAATTTCCATTGGCAAAACCTTGCAGCAACATTTCATCACGATAACCCTTGATATGACCTCCAGTTGGAGCATTCTTAAAGCTTCTTGTTCAAAAGTGTCCAAGTGCTTTTCAGAGCAGTGCTCAGGAGGCAGGTGGCACCGTGCAATGTGTGTAGTTAGTACAAGCTCACGTTACAACAACTGATTTGTCACTCAGAAAACAGTAACCGAGGGAAAACATCTTAGCAAGGCTAACAAATACCTACTGAGAGCATCAGCCTAAGAAATGCAAGTATTCGCATGTTGTCTGTACATAGTTGCACTATACAAAAATAATTCCTTGAGTTGSGTGGGGATATGCCCTTTTTGATATTCATATTCTATAATTAAATGTATAGGTAATGCTTAAATATCAGGACTGGGATTTATTTTCTCATTTCTTTGTCTCCATTTGGGTTTCACACATAACTATTCAGTTCTTTGAAACTCTGCCAACCATTCCTTAAGGAATACTTTAAGAAAGGTGGAAAACGAACCTTTCTTGAAGCAACATTTAAACACAAGAACAAAAAAAACAGGGTACTGAAGTGGAATCCCAAGATCGCTTCCAAGAGGATACAGCCCTCTAATAACAGCTGAAGGGAGTGACAGAATTTAGTGACACTGGTAAAATAGCTAAAGCCAGGTTATATGCAACAAGACAATATAAATTATCTTTGCATTTAAATTTGATCTGATATGATTCAAACACCACAAAAAAAAAAAAAAAAAACCAAACTCAATGTCTTTTCCACTGATATAGCAAAAATCTCCTTAGATAAAAGCCACTGTTTATCCATTTTGTTATACAGCAGGTCTACTTACCTACGCTTCCTTTTCTTACAAAGTCATTCGGTGATGTTTAGAGAAATGCTAAGAATTTTATTTCTAAAAAAAAATACCCTTTTTTTCCTCATGTTCCTCACAATTCATGCTCTGAGTCCAAGAGCCTGAATTACCTAAAGGGAGACAGCAGCGCTGGGAGTCACGTCCAGCCACCTGAGAGCAGAATTTCACCCTCCTGAGCTGTTGTAAAATTACGSAAGTGGAACATCAGGGAGAGGGACAGGGCAGACAAAATACCTTTAAGGGAGTCAAACTGAGTTGCCTGGATGCTGGAATAGAAGACTGGAGAAAACAAGCACATCCCATACATCTTATCCATTTCACTAAAATGATATTCAAAGATCAGGCAATGCTGATATTCCCAGAATTAAAATAATAAATAATAAAAACTTCCAGCTAAATGAAGTATTATCCGACTACAATCTTTATATAATGTGCTATTTACAGTGAAATACAAAAAGTATTTCATTCATACAATTACTACAAAGATTATATGTGATGCAGAACAGCCTTTACACTAGGCAAGGGTATGGAATCTGTAGCCAAAAATAATAATGATTTTTTCCCCACTTACCAGTGCAACAGGTGTTCAATGCAAAACAAACGGTTTCCACTCTCTTTGAGTTAAATGCATTTTCTCTAGTAAGCTCGTAACAGAGTATTTTGTCACAGTCATTTCTCTAAGCTCTTACTGGCAGCACAACAGTTGGGGTGAAGGAAAAGCAGTAGCTGGCTGCAAAGTGGGAATGCGGAGGAACTGGCGAGTGTAGAAAAAAAGTGGAGAAGCTACAAAATTTATTTTCCAACAAAATAACTCTCCACAAGCTGTGTAAACTTTTCTTACTAAAACAGATACTCTAAAACACAAAGATTTTACATTTCCAGTGAAACACTCACAGTAACATTTGCCTGTGTTTTTACTCTCCTGGAGTCTCAACAAAGAGCCAGCAGATTGATGCTTTCTCAATTACCTGGGTCAGTAAACTCCCCCATGTTCCCTAGCTGCAATTTGGATTTTAAATTAATAAGAGAGAATGAGGAAACAGACTTCCTGGGCTTTTAAATAACCTTTGCTTTCTTCAGTAGATTCTCACACTTTGCTGCTAATGTGCACCCATCCAATGCTCCCCCTGCTCACATCCACACCTCTGCTTTGTGTGCTCCCTTATTCTGACAGCAGAACAGAAATTGTGTCCACTGCAACTGCATGACCTGCACAGAGAAGAATAATTTATAGTGGTTAGTTATCTTTATCATAAATTTAAAATGCAAAACTGGTTTTGCAAGGACGTGTTAGGTATAAGAATTAGACCCTTTATCTCAAGCATTCATTCATATTTACAGTAAGTATAAGCTTTCTGCTACAGAAGAAGAAGTATTTAGATTGAACACTGTTACAGATTCCCTAAATGAGGCTAGTTCCAGTTGCCAGTAATTCAAAAGCAAATCTGCTGACTTGGCATTAGGACTCTAAAACAGTGTGATCAAACTTATATAGTAAGAAGGTGTCTGCAGAAATAACATTTATAAACTGTATATACAGTACACAGTACCAGTACATAGAAAATAGATTCTGACTTTATGATCCCCTGTGTGTAAGGCAAGACTGAATTCTCTCCTCAAATGGAGTCCACTAGAGGTACAAGCAACATATAGTGGCTCTTAAATCAATATGCAAATCAAGTGCATTCAAATTAAAAATCAGAGCAGACAAAAGTTTTTAGTGTTTTTTTTTTTTTTTTTTTTTTTTGTGCTGATTCTGGCTTGCTGAATACACGGGAAGTTATTAAACATCAAAGGTACCTTTTTTTAAAAACACTAACAACACCTTGATGGCAACAGATATTGTTCAAGTGGCAGCTACCAAAAACAGCTTGAAAGAAAGGCATAGTACAACACCAGGGGCTGCAGTTGTACTACGCTAATTCATACAGCACTAACCAAAAAAATAAGTAAATGAATATTCTATTTCATGCTATTGCTATGCAAGCAACAGCAATACAAATCAGCATACAGAAGGATACCATATGTTCTGCAATGAAAAACCCAAAGATATTTTCAAGGGGCATCGTTACAAGACTTCAAAGAAACACAAGACTGCCAGGGGCAAAAGTTACTGGCGGATGTAAACATCCCTGTTCCATTCGCCGGTGTCATTACGTTTTTTAGATACCACTTCCCCATCCTTGTCACAATATTGGTCCCTTGATTTATGCCGACTACGTTGTTTGTTGCATTCATTGTGGTCCTGCTCGCGGTCCCTCTCCTTTGAGCGATGCCTTGATTCTCTGTGTCTGTGATCACTGCTCCCATGGGACTCGTCTCTGTGATTGTGATCCCTGTGAGCATCGTAGTGGTCGCCGTGCTCCTGCGAGTAGTCCTCCTTTGGCTCTATGTAAGCCGAATCTCTGCTGTCTTGTGTTTCTGAGTCAAAAGTTTCTTGCCTGGAAAGGCCTCGGCCAGCACCACCGCGATGATTGTGGTGTTGGGATGAGGAAGAGCGATGCTGGGATTTCTTGGTGGGTTCAACTCGTGCYTCCTCTTCAATCTGTGAACCGCTGCGTTCAGGGACTGCATGGTCACTCCTCTGGTCTCCTTGAGATCCCTGCTATCACAACCAGCAGTAAGTTCACATATTTAACTCCGTATTTAAAAACTTTCTCCAATATGAAATTAAACTAGCATGATGAAACCAATAATATTTAACTACACAATGGTCCATTTCGAATCTAATCTAGAAAATACTGGAAAAAATCAACTTTTACTATAAATTATTATAATACAAACAAATTCTTCCATCCTAATCATCAGAGAGGGTTGCACTCAGGTTATTCCTCAAGTTTTCTTAATGCCTGCAAAGTTTCTGAATTCTCCCATCAGCACTAATTGCTGCCAAACTCCAGACAAAAAGGGAACAGGTGGAAGCAGCACAAACTGCACAAAAATGAACAGGGTCACATCACACCAGGAGAGGGCAGATCACTGCTAAGAGTTTAYAGAAGCCTGGTTGAAAACGAGCACTATGGGTGAGATTTTAATGGAGTGCACATGCGGGCTGAGAAGATGGATTTGGGCAGAGAACCCTAGGTACAAAATCCTGGCTTTTTACAGTAGGTCTTTTTTTTTTTTTAAAGAAATAAAATACACTTGAGTCTGGTAATAAAAACGTTTGTATTATCATACYAATAGTATCACAGCCCGCTGTTTTTCCCAGTGATAATTCATTTTCCTCATGGTAATGAAAAATTAAACTTCATAATTTAGGCACTCAAGAATACTAATCATTGCCAAGGAAAGTAGGAGGAGAGTGATATTATCACCTGAAGAAACTCCTATGAAACTGCTACTATCAAGAGACTGAAATAAAAATTACCAGGCAATATCAAACCTACCCTTCATCAGCATAATACTTTGAAATCACTGCAAAATGAACTAGTGGCATTATTTAATTCATTGTGGGGTTCTGTTGTGTTAGCCCATCCACAGCCAAAAATTTTTCACTCTTAGTTTCAAAATGTGCAAAAATAGTTTATGGTCAAATTGCATTATCCTTCTCATACTAGGTTAAGAATTTCAGCAAACAAAATCCTATCTACAGGCACAAAATTAAACAAACTTGACTTGAGGYGTTACACAAAGGTTTATTTGGGAGACCACACTGAATTTACCTAAGGTTAGTCTCAAGTTTGTCCTCCTGTGTTCAGGGTTGTCTGAAAGAAGAATCTTGCCTCCAGGGCAGCTCATGGAGGCATTTGTGTGTGTGTTTCTTTGTAACATGTGGAAACAAAGCTGAGTTTTGGAGCTGCAGGTTCATGAAATTCATCCATAGCACAACGGTGGATGGAGGAATTGGGAACTAAATGAATTTAACAGAATGGTGGAGCTAGGAAGCCCAGGCTGGTTTTAATCGAGAAGGAAACCCTACAGAAAGCAGTGAATCCCCAAATCTGCCGCAGACTGGACTATGTCCTTCAGCCGCAGATCCCAGCAGTTGGGTTTCCTAGCAACCCAACAAGTAGGATGACAGGAAATCTTAAAGGAACCGGACTGCAGTTTACCAGGAATTTATCAAAGCCAACGTATTTCAATAAAACAATGCCATCTGACAAATCAGCATTGTCTACAGTAATATTTTCCACTACTGAAATTCCCAGAAAGTTTCTGGGTTGCTCCATGTACTCCCAATTTGAAACAAATGGCATATATGAGAACAAGATACCAAAAATGACACAGTAGATCATTTCTTTTTCCCTGTTTTTATGATTAAGATGTTTCTGACTKGCTGGAAAAGGATTTTAGACATTGAAACATGAACTAAGTGTTCAAAGTGAACAGAGATGACTCTATGGAGGAGAAACATATGATCAAGTGAAAAGTAAGATAAAATAACATCTGCTTTGGATGTGTGAACACACATTTTTATTACTTTGTAACCATGGCTGTTAAGGCACGGTTAAGGCACGTAAATTGGGTGCACTCACGAAATCCTTTAATTCTCATAGAATCAAATGCCAAATATATAGCTATATATAATCATGACTAATAAAACCTGTCATTGCTGTGGTTTGAGAACAAATGCAATGTACCTGATTTGAACAGAATGTGACTTTACCAGCTCAGATGCATTTTCTCTGTGATGACTACGTATGGAGGAGTTGGACCCAASTGACTGATCAGAACCAATAACCTTATCACACTGCAATTTCAGAATAGTTTCAGGGTTTATGGACAAATTCATTAACAATAAGCTTCTCTAAATATTACAGAGACACTGAAAGGGTAATGTCTGAATCTGGATTAAGGCCTGGGTTTGWGGCTCAGCTAGATTTGGGCTCTGAATTGTACTAGATGCTACAGTGCAGAAATTTCATGGCTCCGCCATCTGAAAGGGAGGAAGTTTGAGACAAGCCAGTTTCATCGTGCAGGCTGTAACTTCTTAGAAATAGTGGTTCTTGGGAAGAAGTTTAAAGAGCATTGAAACAGAAGGCTGTGTCCACACGGCCAGTTTGACCTGCTTCCTGTTTCCCTTCAGTGGTCCCCTCATCACCTGGGCTTTACATGTCTGAACATGAGATGGCTCCTAGTCTCATTTTTGCATTTAGCCAATGATTTCCCCACAAGAGGAAATCTGGGAAGAGGTACCAGGAGAGTTTGGTCCAAGCTCCCCATCAGAGATACAGCAGGGGTATGGGCTCCAACAACTTTGGTTCAAAGAGTCTCAGAAGACTTTAGACCTTCAAATCTTGTGCCATGCAAAGAACACAGTGTCATGCTACAAACATACCACTCTGGCAAGCAGCAACACAAATTCCTCATTGCCATGTGTACTTTGGACTGGAAAAACACAAAACCAAGTTATGTCCAAAGGCAAAGGGTGCCACACTGGACGCAGAGGAGMACAAGTCAAGTGCTTTGCAGTGTGGATGAGGCCACTTCAGATCAAGTGACTGGAGGCAAAGATTTTATCTCTGGGGCAGCYCATAAAGAGGCAAAAAGCTTCAACTCCTATTAAAGGAATTCCTAGTAGAGGGATTTCTGTTAATAGAAGGCCTTATGCTATCAAGAGAATGAGCTCAGATACTGTGATTAGAAAATAAGCCCACTACTCTAAGACCTTCATATATCACAGATTTGAGATACAGCTGAAAATGTATAATYGAAAAAAGAAACAAAAGGAACACAGAAGTTCAGCATTTCATAAGGGACCACCAATGCACTGCACTTTTGAATAAACATACCTACAAGCAAACTGTGAAAGTGTAAATTCACTCGCATTTTTAGTGCTTAGAATAGTGAATTTTTAAGGAGATATYACAACATTCAGAAAGGTGTCATTAAAACTTTGTTTCTGCAGAGAATGTGGTTAATAATCAGAACACACTAATGTAAGTAAGTGAATTATAAATCCACACTCAAAAATTTTTTTTTTTTTAAAAAAAGCATATCTACAAAGCCAAGAAAGTTTAGCTAGCAAATCTGCACACAACAATACTGAATTTCATACTCAGAAATTCTTCCAGTTCACAATTTTTCAGGGTGTTTCAGCTCTGGGAACAGAAAAAAACGCAGAAATGAGCTACTCCTTACGGTSTCTTTTCCTGACGCTGTGTTTGGAAGTGAGAGAAAGAGACACCCTATACCATGGCCAAAGTGATTTTCTTTTTAAGGAAAGGACYTGTCAAGTTTGTGGTTTGGTAATGGAAAATAAATTGACTATCATAAACCACTGTTTTGCAAAACCATACAAAACACATTTATGCTAAAAGCCTTAACACATTTGCACAAARAGTCAAAAGAGAGAACAAGGATGCAGTATGTGCAATATGCCCAAAGTCAACAGGCCAGTCTATGCAGAGTGAGGAATAAGATCTATTCTTCCAGTTCTCTAACCAAGACCTAYCTAAAAGGCTAGCTTGAAGGAAACAGACACTTTTCACAGCAATGGCCAACGAATAAGGGAAGAAAGAAAACACAAGGAGGAACACTTTGACCTTGAGACATCAGTAACCGTGTCAGTCATGTGCAAACTCTTGAACTCTGTAGCTCAYGGGAAGAAAAGAAGAGATCCCCTCCAACCTCTGTGGGTCTGCTCTGTACATAACCCAATTCGTCATGCAGGCCCTCTAGGGCTGGGATTTGCCTGTCACTGATAATGTGTCTATCAGTCAGAAAGATACTAGGAGCAGTAACRTGCATAGTATTAGCCCAGTTTTAAGCCTCCGATTGGATTATATATGGTGAGCTATAAAAATGCTTGTGGCTGGCACATGTATTACTGGCACAGAGGTCCTGGGCACAAGGGAATCTGTATTCCACTTCACATCACCATATGCTTTTGGTCAAGCTTGCTTAGCTTTTGKGATCAAAGCAGGCCTACTAGTCAATACGCAAACACAAACTACATGCAAACACACTGTGAATATTGCAATAATGTGTCCATCTTCTGCAATTTATACTAAAATGGGCAAATGTCTATTTAAAAAACTCTCCTCCTGCTCTAACAACAGCAGAAAGAYATATTCAGCAGGTTCTAGTATCAGACTACCACTTTACTTTAGAAGGAGAAGCTGATGAAATATAAAGGAAGAGATGGCACAAAAACAGTACCTGTAAATTCATGTTTGAACCTGGGCTAATAGGAAGAGTGGCTGTTGCCAGTGTACGAGTGAGAAGCTGGTTAGGAGGGTTGCTGCTAGGTGGATGTGTGGCCTTCCAGTAGGCTTCCAGGTAGTCAGCAAGGTGCTCACAAGCATCTTCAAGCTGGTTCTCATCAAGAATTACATCRAACATTTCCTGATAAAGGAAAGGTTTTAGTGAGAATAACCATGGCTCAAGAGACATTAGCAACAGACACCGATGACCACACTTTCTATTCACCAAAATGAACCACGTTTATAAAACTTGTGCTTGGATATTTTTATGTCCAAGTTATTGGACGTTATTGGATATTTTTACGTCCACGTTATTACGCAGTAGTAAGAACTCGTGCTAAACTTGCCAAAGCACGTCTTCCTCACTTCCACTACATAACACATAAATAGTCAATGAAGACAGGAGGAGGCAGCCTGAACAAATCTTAAAATTCAAATATGCAAAAAGAGGTTAAATATTGAAGCTTTTTAGCTACTGGAAAAAAAAATGAAACGTGAAATAGACTGGATTTCAAGACCTAGAATAAGTAGCACAAAACTAAGACAACAAAGACAAATAACTAATAGCAAAACCAGGGTTGACCAACAGAGCATCGAGTTTCCAAACATGCTACAAATGTCAGCTAAGAGATTAGCCACACTGTCTACTTCAGGAATGTAAAGTTAGCAGGATAGTTTACATTGCTCTCACACCAGGTCTGAGTAGCAGAACTGAGAACAGTTTGAGAACTTAAGCAGGGATCCAGCATTCTTCACTGACTTTGTGGGCAGCTGAGGAGGATAGTCTCCAAACTAGATGCTTAAACTTAAGTGATGAAAATATCCCCCTCATTCAGCCTCCCCATAATTGCAAATTAGCACTTCTGGAATTGAACTGAACCTTTATTTTCTGAGCCTCTACCTTACAACTGACAGATCATTATGCATGTAAGGGTTAATCCTTGCTCCATTCTGTGTACAGGTAAGGTCTCACCACCTCTACTTAAGAGGTAGAAGTTGAGAGAATTGGTATAGCCACACATCAACAGAGCTACCGTGCTGTGGCTCAGTTACACAGTATCCCACAGCTCCTTGTCAAAATTGTGATTGGAAGTGCCAAGAGTGATGAGCTGTGATGACACATGCCCAAGAGGAACTACTAAACYCACATGCCTTATCCTAGGCTTTCAAAGTACAGTTCATTTTTAAATCCATAACATAAATTATCACGGCAAATAAACCCTCAGTTTGTTCAGGGAATGAGTGTATTCAAGTAGTCAACCTGTTAACTGYTGTTTCTGGAAAGGAATGGTTTTTGCCTATACCCTCTGCTCACAACCCAGACCTCAAAAGGAATTTTGCAAAATAGTAATAGTGAAATATCACCAGAAGGGGGCAAACATTCCTAAAAATCACATAATTAACATCTTGAAAAGAAAGGAGGGATCAGCACCTTTAAACAGGGATCAGCAGTTTTCAAATGAACAAGATACAAATTAACAGTAACTCACTGGAGGACACTGTGCCAGTTTATCAGCTGCCACCATCTGAACATTAAGGTGTTTGGCCTGAGATTTCCCTCGAGATTTTATTAACCTCTGTAAAACCTATGAAAAATAAACAGTAATAAAAGTGAAAAATGAAGGCAAGCAGAGAGGAAGTGAAGCAACAGGTTTGACCATTCTCCAAGTCAGTTCAGCAAGATTTAACAGTCAATGGATTGTGAACTGCATCAGTCACACTGTATTTCTGTAACCACTTGTTTTGTTACTGAACAAAAGAATATTTTCTTTTTGGTGCTGAGCATCCGAATTATAAAAGTAACCACTGAGTGATAAAGTTTTYTGAACATTTTCATATTTACTATGTAAATGCTCCTCTTTTCTTTTTGTATTGTTTGCCTGGATGGTAAAAGCTTAAGGAGTCTTCTACAGATCATTTAATGAACTGTTACTGTTATTTATATGATTTATGCTAAAGAGCAGCAGAACACACAATGCAATCCCAGTTAGTAACTGGGACACAGAAGAAGCAGCAGCAGAAGAAACAATGCAATCCCTTTCCAGTATGCTTATTCCAAGACGGATTTTGCTAGTCCCACGGCCATCATTTTCTGAATAATTCTGCCACCCAAAAGGAATAAAATATAACTCTCTGAGATTTCATTTACCTAATGAGTTCACATGATTGTCTGTATTTAATATCCAGATATAAAAAAAAAGGAAAAAAGAAAAGGAATGTACTGAAACAGCACAAACATGAGTAAAAGATTAAAATATTTACCTTAGGAGAAGAAATCTTTACATATACTATAATGGGAGCCAAAGAGGTTTTGCTTAGTTGAGCTGGGTGATTAATGGTATCAGCATCAAGTACTACCAACTGCAGTGTCCTTGCTAGCTCAAAAATCCGCTCAATTTCACTTTGAACTTCAGCTGCAAATTAAGTAGAAAATCAGAGTTATGAAAATATTAAAAAGCCATTCATGTTAACAAACATACAAACTGTGGCAGATTGGCGTGTTGCTCCRTGGACTGCTGAGGAGATTGTCCATGGGGTTAAGTATTTCCACTGCTGGACCCTGRGAAAGGAACACCCACACCATGTCTGCTCCAGTGGTGGTGCTCCCTACCTCCTCACCTCGTCACCTTCATGTAACTCCAGCATGCAGAGATATTGTTAACACCTCCTTATATGACCCCAATCCACATGTGTGGGAACAAAGGGATAAATAGTACGCTTGCCAAGCTATTAATTTTCCACAAGTAAGCAACTTCAGCTCAGAGTTTAATTCTACTTAATAATCGAAACACTCAAACAAGAGTGTCCGAAATGGAGATGAAGATATACTGAGGTATTTAATGTTAGCAGTAGATGCCATTTTTCCATTTGCTTGTGCTTGAATTAACCAAACTCTGGTAAACAGTCTTTCATTTCTATTTTGACCTCAGTAGTGTGTTACATTAAAATATTTGATCGTCATGTATAAAACCTTTCTAAAAACAAGTAAAACAACAATTTAAACAATACTATGGCCTCTTTTTCCACAACCCCTAGTGTTCAGTAAAGGTAGTTTTCCCCAAAAAAGCCTTCTCACTACTCATACTCTAAGCTCCTCAGCAACCTGCCTCATAGCAACACAAGGTTTCTGGGGCAAACTTCTCCACGACAGAGGTACTGTGATTGCCTTCACTCCAAATTGAAATGAAGTTTTTTTTTTTTTTTTTTTTTTTTTTTAAATAGTGAATACTACAGAAACTGAATGGTTTGTACAGGCTTACAAGCCTGCAAAGAGCAAAATTATAATTTATACAGGTTTCCCTTTTAGTTTTGTGCCTCCTCTGAGAGAAAAGAACACACTAGATGATACTGAGCCAGTCCAAAGCAAACATTAGAAGGAAAGATATTCACAGACATTTAAATGCCCACAGAATATACCGAAGATTTAATTATTAGAGATTTACTTAGAATTTACTTGGATCCTTTTCAAGAGGTTAACACCTCTTAGAACTGCAACTGAATAAACTAGGACATATAATAAGGCTGCAAAACATCCAAGAGAGAAACTAAGCTCAGCACTCCAGCTGGTCCAGTTAGACCAGCTCCAGTTACCTCCAAGTCTTTTAATCCAAGTCAATGGACTACTCAGATGATGCTACAAAGGAAATAATCTTTAAATGACCATCAGAAATATCTCCATATGATGTCCTCTGCTGGATGAGGTTGACACTATTTTGAGAACAGCTCAATCTCTTTGTAGCTATCTCCAATTTTAGCTGAGTGCATGGCAATCAGTCTCTGGGAGCAGGGAACATGTTGAGATTTGCACAGCTTTCTGGTATGGAAAGCATCATGCTCTGCTTTTCTGATTTTTCCTACAAGAGCTGTGGCCCAGCTGCTGTCTGAATTAGGACCACATTTTTGAAGAAAGGGCTTCTGATGGTTCTTGGCATGTTCAGAATTATATTTTCGGCATCTTCTTTGCATACAGATACTGTCTGGAATATTGGGTACTATGTTACTCCATCCTTCAGCCAGTGTAACAACATCAGTTAAAGTCTAGTTTTAACAACATTCCAAATTAAAAAAAGCAAGCAAACTTGTTCAAGCCTAATTTTACCAGCCAAACTGTTTTTTTGCCAGTATATCGTAAATATGTCTGAGGAAGCAGTATCTCCCATACTGTTAGAAGCAGATACACCYGTATAAAATAGATTTCCAACTATACCTTTTCAAACACATCTTTTCCAGGGCCAAGTACACGTCTATATTCTTGGCTGTGACATATACCTGAACAATTGCAAATTGTAGTGAAATATTTCAGTTTTTCAATATTTCAATTCCTGAATTGAATATTTTCAAAATTTAAATATTTCAATTCCTGAACAATTGCAACTTATTATGGACCTACAAAATGAAGTTTTCCACCTGAGTCCAGAGATGGAAACAGAAGATAACTTTTCAATTAATTAATGTGCATTTAATTTTTTTTTTTTCAACAAGTCTGGTATTCAAAAATATGATAAAAGACAGGAAAGCGATAAACTCTCTGCTTTAGTACTCCAGCAATCAGCCAGAAAGTACCTGCATTTTTTATACACATATACATTTTAATCAAACAGCTAACATAAATGTAGTTCTGTGAATACAGCTGATTTTTGCTATCTCAACCATATCCCTTAACCACTCGCCTGTTACATAAAAAGGGGGTGTGGGTGTGGGAGGATGATAATATTTTTCACCGAAAGTGGCTGCATTTGTTACTCATGCCTAACAGATGGGGCCCCTGCAATGTTTAAGGCAGTTTAGTCACCTGTCAGAAAGGAAAGGAGCCGCAGAAGGGCTGTGTCTGGCTGCGCAAGGCTGGTGCTCTTCAGCACGCTGCAGGCTGCAGCAATACCGCGTTTCTCTCTCTCTGTGTGCCCAAGGCTCATCTTGGATACAATTCAGATGGCCTTGAATGCCCACACATCCAAATCATTTTTAAAGATACAGTTGTATGTTTGGAAACCTCAATATGACCAAGATCTATTTATAATGGRCTAATAATACCGCCAAGTTCTTGCGAAATACAAGAATATGTTAGTGTTTGCAATGTAATACTGAGGAAATGTAATACTATAATTATGTGAAAATATCAAACAGATAGTGTGAAAACATTAGCAACTGGACAACGTTCATCTAAAAATACTGAATAGTGCATGAMAATACTTATTTCTTCGCATATTGTTATGGGCTATCAAAACAACACCACTGTTGGAATGGTAATTCTTAAGCCAGATCTAAACTGGAATTTTTACGGCCTCTGACCAGAGGAGTTTGTAGTCAGTGGGTGGCAGTGGGGACAAGAACACGGTGGGGAGCCACACTGAGGTGCCTGAGCAAGGCAGAGCCACGGCCACGGCTGCTCCAGACCAGGACGCTGTGGAGCAGGGCAGCTCTGCACCCTTCCAACAAGCTCCACTAGCACTGTTAGTGAGCAGCTGAGACAGCMAGGTTGGGCAAAGAACCAAGTTAACATCTACATTGCTCAGGGCACCAAGCTGTTATCTCTGCACAGCTCATAATGGACATTGTCACCTCTGGCTGGCACTAACTTGGGTATTTCTGCACCACATCCAAAAGGGCTGTAGGCTCTTACAGATAGATTCCATACACTGACACTAAGCAAATCTCCCATGGGTTTGTTGTTTTATTCAGAGCAATAAATAAAAATGCTCAGTTCTTCTCAAAAATAGGACCTGGAACCATTACATTAGTGGTTATTCAATCCCTCCTGTTGAGAGTGTGCCACTTGAAACATTTACATATTAAGTGAGTGGGAGAGACGCTGACTCTATAGCCTGATGCTTGGAGTGGGATGTAAAACACGTGGATTTCAGTCTCTTCTGCAGGGAATGTTTAATTTTTATGCAAAGTGCACACAAGACTCAGCAGGAGTGACTGATAACCCTCATAAAGGGGATCGTGGCTCTGTCATAGGGATGGAAATGATGCRTTCATATCTTTGTTAGCATGGAACAGAAATGAACTCAGATTTCCTGGCGTTTTGGTTGAACAACCTAACCCCTCAGTTCTGGACAAAGTAAGAAAACAGACACCAACTCAGTTCTCTGTTTCCAGGAGACAGAAAAAATACCTGATCAATTAAACCTACAGGTGTGAGTATTTCCTAAGGAAGCAAATTGTTCTTGAGCAAACAGTTAACTTGCTAAAAATATTTTACATACTTTTCTAGGTATGTTGGTTAAAATACATGCATCTGTGACCTTGAAAATCATTTAAACATATTTCTATGTTGTTTTCTCTCTAATATACATACATTCATTACATACATACATTTCATTTGGATATGTCTTTCAGTGCAGTACTATGAGAAAGCACAGTGAAATGCTCATAAGAACTGTATCTAATTTAAAGAAATTAAGAACTTGTTTTTTCCTTAGGTCCTGTTGAAGCACTTATGAAATTTCATTAAAATACTTTGTTAATGTTGCATTGAAAAAAAAACACATATATAACTTAGAATACTGGACTGGTACAGCAGAACTAAAGCCAAACTACCTGGAGAATTTAGAGAATTTATTATTATAGAGACACTGATCTTGGCTGCTAACAACATCAGGGCTGATGCAGAAGAATAAGAACATTTTGAGATAGATGAGGCTGATAACTTTTAACAGCTTCAGGATATTCAGGTGTCTACATCTAAGAAGAAAAACATCCAAGCCGTCATGCCACCCAAAAACTCTTGACTGCTATGTTAAGAGCATTCTTCCATTTAAAAGCAGCATGATGTTTAGCAGATTGCTTTACCAGATCTGAGGATTTAATTCCTACAAGTGATTCCTGCAAGTTCTAGACTTCTGTTCCCGCTACCTTGAAGACACATTATAATGAAGCAATCAGGAATCTTCTTTCTTCTTCTCATTGAACTATATTAAATCCTTTAGACTTCGGAATGGAAGTACACTCTTGGTCAAATCCTATTCTATAGCCTCTATAGGTAGGGAAGGATTCATTGAGGTTCAGCTACCATTCTTTTCAGCTTATTTTATTTTACGATCAAGGAAGTATTTAGTTGAAACATATCATATACAACAACTGTCATTAAATTATCAAACACAGGGAATATATAGTGACATTATCTTTATCAGAAGACTTGTAATATATATATGTGTGGGTATATACATACATATATACATATATACATATATACCTATATACCTATATACCTATATACATACATACATACATATATATATATATATATATATATATATATATATATATATGATTGTTTCCATAATATCAAGCATTCTACTTGCTTTTAACCCAGATATCAAGAAAATACGAGGTGGAAGTTTGCATTGATAATCCATTACCATTTTCTCAAGCATTTATTCCAACGTTATGTAAGGGCAAATTTCCAAAG